GTTAGCTGTGGAATCCTGAGGTGGCTTTGCGCGCCAACTACATTGGCCTGGGCCCGAAGAGAGTGAGCGCGAGAGCAAAAGCGAGTGAGAGCGAGAGCAAAAACGAGTGAGAGCGAGAGCGAGAGCGAGAGCGAGAGCGAGAGCGCGAGCGAGAGAGCGCGAGCGAGAGTAAGAGTGAGAGTGAGAGTGAGAGTGAGAGTGAGAGTGAGAGTGAGAGTGAGAGTGAGAGTGAGAGTGAGAGTGAGAGTGAGAGTGAGAGTGAGAGTGCGAGTGCGAGTGCGAGTGCGAGTGCGAGTGCGAGTGCGAGTGCGAGTGCGAGTGCGAGTGCGAGTGCGAGTGCGAGTGCGAGTGCGAGTGCGAGTGCGAGTGCGAGTGCGAGTGCGAGTGCGAGAGAGAGAGAGAGAGAGAGAGGGTGAGAGCGAGAGCGAGAGCCGGGGACGTGGTACCATCGGGACAGGCCATTGTTCGACCTACCTACCTCCCCTTCAAAACCCCTGGCTGAAATTTCAAAGACCTTGGGGGCCCACCAGGCAACAGCAAAATCCTGAAAGTTTTTCATGCTGGCGACAAGGGGGGGGGGGGTTTAAGGGGGGTGGGGATCAGGTGCAGGCGGCGCTGGACAGGGCCCGGGTTTGTTGGTGCATGTTGGTGCTTTTTCGAAGCAGACGTCCAACAGCCGGGGGGCACCTACCAGACGAGGGAACGCAATACTCCTCGCCCGATCGCCTGCGCGAGTGCCGCGGTGGAACCTGCGGGTTGGGGGCCCCGGCGCAGGCACCGCCCCCCCGCGTGCTGCCGGCTGGGCGCGCCGCGGTGGCGGAGGCGGTGGTGTGGGGGGTCGTCTGCGCAGTGGTGATGGGGAGCGGCGCCACTCGTGGGAACAGGTAGAGCAAGTGCGGGAGCGCGAGCGAGAGTGTTGCACTCGTGCGGCCGCCCGCGCCAGCCCCCCTACGGCAGCGTCCCCTGCACCACCGGTGGCCACAGCACAAGCGTCGGCCCCTTTGGGAGCGCCCCTCAACCTAATCCATTCCGGGACTTTGGCGGCCTGCGTGCTGCGCCAGCTCAGGCGCCGCGTATCGTTCTTGCAACTCGGGCCATCCAGCCGTACGTTGGCCAGGTGTCATCGCCACCGTTTTTCCTGCAGCCAGTCCCCCAGACCTTACCTCCTTGGCTGCCGTCCTGGCGCCGCCGTGCACGCAACTAAGGAGTGGATCGGGCTAGTTGTGCCACCCGATTCGTTGGCACAAGCCTCAGATACACTGGGGTTCCTGCTATTGGTTGACCGCGGCGCCGCAGGTCGCACCTGTGCTTATTTGTCAAGGCAGCCTCCAGGCGCCATCCAGTGGGCTGCTCTAGGCCTCGGGTCTGACTTTTACGCAGCCATACGTTCAAACACACACTTGAGCATTTGCAGGTGCCGCGATTTGTGACATTCGTGCCGTGCTCGCAAGCTGCAGGAGGGTTGTGAGCCGGCAGAAGCCCCACCAGAGCCGCCGGCAGGCGCGTGGCTTGGTGTGGCGTCGTGGAGCGCTGTCCTTCCTTTTCGGGGTTGGCGATTGCCTGCGCGACATACTGTAAGCCTTGGCAGCCTCAGGCGCCGCTTTCCTCCTGGCATAGACCATTCCTGCCGTTCGTGACGCCCAGTGTCGCCCCAGGTGCTTCGTGAGGTTGCAGGGTTCGTGTACACTCAAAGTCGTATCGAAACCGCAGCGGCTACCTCGGGCAGCTGCGCAAAAAGGTTCGTCAAGCCTTACCGTCGGCTCTTCTCTGCAACTCCTGAGTGGGTGTCAGGTTTCTCCTAGGGGTTTCTAGGTTTTCCGCCATCAAGAGGGGGGCACCCAACCGTCTGCGAGGCGGACAAGTGCTACCGAGTTCTCACGTGCATCATTTTGGCCACCAGGGCGCCAGCAAGTGGGCAGCCCGGGGTCAACAGTCGTTCGTTCATTTCAACTTCCAGCGCCGACGTACACGCCGCGACGAGCTGTTTCAGGCTGTTTCATTGCACGGCTTACAGTGGCCGGGGTGTGGGATGTCGCAGCGCTCCAGGGCGGATTCGCCACGCCCCGCTTCACAGGCACCGACGCCTCACTCTCCGCTCACCGCGCCTTCTACGCCGCCAGCCTTGGGCGCCGTCGGGTGACGACGCTGCGTGCCCCGTATGCCTAGACAACTTCGACCCCACAGCTGCCGGTGGCGGCGCGCGCGTGCCTTTCCCCACGTGTGGCGCGCACCACATGCATCTCGCCTGCCTAGCGCAGTTTCGTGCCCAGGCGACTGGCCACTCCGAATTGCTTTGCCCCTTGTGCCGCCATAGTCTGTGCCCTGCGTGCAACCCTGAAGGCTGGACTGGCAGGGAGGACGAGGCACTTTGGGACATGTGTGCGCATCGTGGCGTTCCCATACCGACACGCATTTCCGGCGAGAGTACTGTGCGTGCTGCTGTCCCGGACTACGCCGTGCGCACTTTCACATCGCAGGACGCGCCCGAACCGCGACCGCCGCCAGGCGTTCGGATCCTGTGCTGCCACCATGTCGCGGCGATCGGGCGCATGGGTGGGGTCGATTTCATGCGGCTGCCTGATCGCACAATGCGCTGGGCGCCAGTGGCCGTGCGCCACGAGGCCGGCTTAGCTGCTTGGCAGCCGGGCTGGGTATGCATGGGCTGTGCCCAGTCCGAACAGCTCGGTAACCTGTCGATCCCGGCTGAGGCAGGCAATCCGTGTGACCGTTGCGGCAGCATCCGCCAGTGAGTATGACCGGGTCACTGGCGTGGAGGCCCTCGACGGTGCGCCCGGCCTGTGCGCATACCTGCGCCCGTCTCCCCCACGGACCTTCAGCGCTTCAACCAGAGCTGCCCATGCATGTAACGTTACATGGGGTGCCTGAACCGTCCATCTTGAGCCCCGAGTGCCAGCAGCACCCCAACACGTGCCAATCGGAGGCCCGCGAGCCGCCGTTCAGGGGTGCGTGGTATGACCGAGGACCTCCCGAACGTGGCGTGCGGTCGCCTACCAATTCGTGGCTGTACGTGCCGCTCCTCCTAGGTGCACTAGGAATGCTCACTGATCGGGCGCTCGCCTTGTGGCGCACAGAGGCACGTGCTTCGCCACAGTGGGAGGAGGCTCGCCGGGTGCTGGCGGTTTCGGCCCCAGTTCCAGTTGCCACACTTACGGAGGCCTTGATGGCAGCGGCTAGCCATCGAAATGAGGACTTACCCCAGGCTGCTCTCGAAGAGGCGGCCACGCTCCCGTCCAGCACTCTGGTTCGTCAGCGCAGCAGGCCAGGAAGTGCGTCTCATGTTGTACGGCGGCTCGGCGTTTGCGAGCGCGCTTGACCGGCTCTCGGACGAGTTCCGCCGCGCACTCGCACCGCCAGCGCCGCTTGCCGCCGTGGAAGCGCTACACGTCGCCGAAAATCGCGATGAGCACGTGGACGGAGCGGAACACACATCTGGTCCGGAACCAGCCCGGGCCATGCCGGCGCCGGCGGCCCAACATCCCGTCGCGGAGGGGGCGGAAAGTGAGGCCGAGACTGTTGGAGCTGTTGGGGATGAGGCGCCGCCCGTCGGCAGCCCTTCTCCAACATGGCTGCGCGCCGCCCTGGCCTGGCTCAACACCGTCGACCTCGCGCAGGAGTTCCGCGAACGGTTGCCGACCATGCACACGGTACCGCGATTCTTAACCACGGGGTGCGCAGGTGCCTGACCCGCTGCCTGCACGATCTGCAAATCGCTTATCGGCGGAGGGATGGCGCTGCCCGAGAAGCGGCGTGGAAGCTGTTCTTGCTGGCCCCGCGTTTGCTCCTGGCACGTTGCCGTGATTCCGGGCCAGTTGGCCGAGCTGCTCTCCCGCGTCGCGTGGAGCTCTTCGAGCCGGGTGCGTGGGAACAACTGTTGGAAGAAGCCCCGGGCGGGTGCGCCTACGAGGGGCCAACACACCCTCCCCGCACCGATTCAGCAATCCTTGAACAGGGTGCGCCAAGGGCAGCTGTCCCGGGCACGCCAAGCCCTCACAGCCGCTGGCCCCTGGTAATGATGAGGCTCGGACCCTACGCGGCAGCCACCCAATCGGCGCCGGGAGATACCTGCAGAGGTGTTGTGCCATGAGCCGGCCGAGGCCGTCAATCTGTCGGTCCAACAGGTTGCGGAGTCGCTCCGGAGCGCCAAGCGAGGGTCCGCGCCAGGCCTTTCGGGGGTTGACCACTACAAGTTGCTCCTCGACGACCCTGCGGCGCTCGAGCTCCTGGCTTTCGCCGTCAACTGCTTTGCGCGGGCTGACGTGCCGTCGGCTATCGTTGAAGCCCTCTCCCTGTCAAGGCTGACGGCCTTGCGTAAACCGGGAGGGGGCGTGCAGGGCATAGCTACAGGAGACGTCTTCCGCAGGTTGGTTTCTCGGGTGTTTGCACGTGCCTTCGCGCACGTCTTCGACGAGGCTACCCGGCCGTATCAGTACGCCTTGAGTACCCGGGCAGGGACTGTGTTGGTCACAGCTCAATCAAGCACAGCTTTGACGTAGCAAGCATTTTTTCACCCGGTCACTTGAGCCAAGGCATTGCCAAGGCAAGTCTGATGCAATCATATGCAATCACTCTTGATTCACGGATGTCATGACATGTGAGGCATCAAACGTGAGCCAAGTACTTAAACTGCTCACACAACGCCCCCATGCCGAGCATGGCATCACAGTCAAAGGAAAATGGAATCAAAGTGTGCAGACTTCTGTCCCGTCTGCTGAATCTTGCGAAAAGAAAACGCAAGCACCGAAGAAAATCTGTACAAAAGAGTGCTTCTGCAAAATGATGATGGGTACGACCTGTGCGGCCGCTACCGCTCGCAAGCTGGCTGTGTAAAGCAAATCAATCAACAGCCTAGAAAATCTGCACTGTTCATGCATCCAACGAAAATCAAGAAATCAATCATGAGATCATGCGGAAAATCAAGCAACACGGGCGCATAATCATGACAACGAAATCATCGGCAATTCACTTGCTCAAGGTCATGCTCAACCATGCGGGTGAACTCCCAAAAGCCGTGAAAAATGCTGGAATTTGTTCTTCTCCAATGCTTTCGTCATGATATCTGCGAGGTTATCGTCAGTGCTGGTTTTCTTGATGTTGTTGTCGGGATCAATGCTGACATCATGCAACCATGACAAAGGCACGCCTTGTGTTCGCTTCATGTACTTGAGCACACCATATGCGTCATCGATTGCTGCGATGCCTGTTGCTGAATCGGTCATGATGTCTAATGGAATTCGATATCCCAACAAAAACTCGAAAAGATCTTGTGCATAGATCCCGTGGCGCTTGAGACCTTCAGCCATAGCAGTCACTTCGGCATCTGGCGCCGACAATGCAGTTGCACCTTGTCGATGCGATCTCCAAGCAAATGTCGCGCGAGTGCCATGCGACCCAACGAGTTGCAAAACAGCTCCTGACGTCGATCGCCTGGTTTCAGGATCTGTCGCCCAGTCAGAGTCGACCCACAGTACTAGTCTCAGAGTGCGTTGCTGAACATCAGCAGGATTAAGAACCAGACGAAGTGCGGAGGACTGAGTAGCTGCTAGATATCCCATGAGACGATGCAAGGCCGCATCCTGTCTTTTGGTCCAATTTGTAGTGTACCGGCCTAACCATCCGACAGCAAAAGATATCTCAGGACGACTATTCCGAGCTATCCACAATCCGGCCCCCACGTACGTCCCACAATTTGAGGCAAGCTGACCTGGTTCATTCATGCTGGACACATCACTGGCCGCGAGCTTCACAGCTGGTGTGTCGTATCGTGGAAGTCTATAGGCCCCAATCTCATCCAAATACTTCCGCGTGAAGGTATCGATGTAAGCATCCTGCTTGACAAGAAACGTGGCAACATCAGCATGGTCGCGTGACAGTATTTCTTCGGAACCTACAAATCGGCTGACGGGTTGAGGTGGGTCTGCGAAATCGAAGCACTGGAAAATCTCAGCCCATGCGTGTGGTAGCACTGGTTTGTGCCCCGCCAACTTGAAATCATCCACAAAACGGCCAATGCCCACAATGTGTCCGTTGTATTCCTTTTTGAAGATCGGACGCTCAATGTCACGAGCTTGCAGCCAATGCTTAAGCAACAACCGCTCGTCAGCATGATCTTCCCAGTCGCTGTTTGAACGTGTGAGCCCGTAGATGGCCATGTACAAAAGGTGCACTGGACATCGCATCTCCAGCTCTGCTTGTGTGCGAAATTCTCTCGGCAAACAAATAACCTTCGGACGACCTTTGAGTCGAGCTTGCAAGTACGCACCATCAGCGTCAGCAGTCTGACAATCGCCGTCGGGTTGCAAACCAGCGTAGCAATCCAGCGCCCGCGATCCCTCAAGTGTAATGGGTCGACCGTGCAATTGGTCTTCCTCCACAAGGCGGCCGTAGATGTCACGCACATTGTCTCCGAGCGCAACTATGCGAGCTTTGAACCGGTGCTGGGACTGATCGAGTTCGTAGTGCTTGATCCCCAAGATAAGATTTGCCTGCACGTACTCCACGTCAGGCCCGTACTTGGCCACAGCACTTTCCCATTCACATGCTTCGGAATCCCAAGTCCGCTTCGATGCGTGGTTTGCCGCCTCCTTGCGGATGGCTGCACGCGCGGCGTTTGTATCCCACTCTGGATCCTTGCGTTTGACTATTTTGGTGACACAAGCGAACATTTTCCCGAGCTCAGTTGTCAACTTGTCCAGCTCCTGTTCCAATCTGGAGGAGATGGCCCCATTGTCAAGAACATTGCTCGGCTGCTGCGACCTCTCGGAATCAGCATCCGAACTGTGTATGCCGTCTGGCCGTCGTTCGGTGCTCGTCCGACTGTGATTGCTGTAAGTTGGCCTGGATCGTTCCGAGTCAGCATCGGATGGATGTGATCCAATGTGTGCTGGAGACGCCGGGTTTTGTGCGACAGTTGGGCCTTGAGAAGCACGTTCCGAATCTGCATCCGATGGATGCGACCCGCGGCGAGACCGTGATCGCCCAGATGAAGATGTGACATCGTCTGCGCGTCGATCTGACATCGGAGTCGAAGGGGGCCAAATCAGGGCGAGGCGGTACAAGACCACTATCCATGCTGTCATCGAACTGAGGGCCGTAGTTGTGCCGAGAAGGCGCCTGCGCGTCCGTGAACAAGTCTACCCGCCAGCGAGGTCGGCGAAGCGGGGCATCCGAATGATGACGTCCATCACCTTCATCGTCAGGGGGTGGAATCATATCATCGTTAAAAAAAAAATCATATCATCGTCATCAGCATCATCGTGTATGTCATGCGACATCGGAGATCTGGAGCTGGAGGAGTCGATGACGCCCCCATCACGGCTGCCGGGCAAGCTCAGGGAGTAGTCCACGCTTGTCTTGTTGGAGGCCGCGTGCTGAACGTCAAGAAATGAATGACCACCACACCGAGCACGAAGGCAGCCGGGACCATCCACATGCCGACGACGACCACCACCAAGCAAACATCCCCGACAATGGACCTCTGCATCCGTGGCCCACAGTCCGCAAAGTACGCAACGGCCGTCATCGCCAGCAACGGGCGTGGGCTGCAACACCTCCGGTTCGAACAAACGGTGGGCCCAGTGCGCTGCATCAGGGTTGTCCATGCCCAGCTCATGAAATGGCCAGCGCAACTGAGGCGGAAAGCGCACATCACGTGTGTGTACAATCCGTGCTTCGCCCTTTGTTTCGACGTAGTGCTCGAAATCCAAGACGTAATACGACTGCAGCCGGCTATAACCCAACACAACACCAAGCCGTCCACGAGATGCAAACTTGTCATGCTCCTCAGAAAGATAGTAGCAAGCGGAGCCGAAGGGACGCAATTTGCTCAAATCGTAGGGGCGATTGAAGCGGAGCTGGTAAGGAGACTCGGCTCCATTGGCACCAGGGCTGCGCGCGTAGACAAAGAGGAAAGCCATGAGACAGAAAGTCCAAAAAACATAGGGCACACCAGACGCAACAAATAGGCAAGCCATGCCCTCTGCAACTGTGCGGTGGAAACGCTCAGCACGAGAGTTGGTTTGCGGCCGACGCGGCAAGGAGCGTTCATGTCTGACCTTCCGTTCTTTGAGCTTGGCAGCAAACTCGCCTTGGAATTCACCACCATTGTCTGTCCGGACTGCTGACACCGACTGGTTTCCAGACATGTCGTCGAAAGCGGCAGCGGCTTCGGAGGCCTGCTTGGTGCGCAAAGCACGTGCGGCAGGGTATCCCGTAGCATCATCATGAGTAATCATGGCATACACCTCGTCATTGATGCTGGGGCGCGTGGGGCCGACAAGATCACAGTGAATGCGTTCGCCATGCACTCGGGCTGTCTGCTTGTCATCTTCCACGGATTGTTTCTTGCGGGACGCCGGCGCGCGGCACATCTTCGCTTGCAAGCACACTTCGCAAGTGGGGTCCTTCGGAAAGTGAGCCAAACAATGTTGATCCGCGGGTTGCGTCTGCGTTGCCAACGCCAGGGGAACCGAAAGACTGGCGAGTTCCGCCCCATTGAGGGTCATGCAGAACTCCCGGAACATGCTGGCGAAGAAGTCGTTCAAGTCCGTGTCGCTCACATCCCCGTGCATGCTTGCAGGACCAGCATCGACAGCGCTTAACAAGAATGGGACTCGATTGACCATGGTGAGCGGCACCTCGTTGGAACCACCATCACGCCAGAAATGCGGCTGTTCCGACCACGCCGGCCAGTAAAAATGATACCCCATCTCAGCGCAAGTTTCGCCCATCGATGCCATGTTGATTTTTGACTCCGGCATCACCATAGCCGAGCGACGCCCTAGATGCGGAACCATGGCGTCTACCATTGCTGTTGGCCGAGCCGTCCCAGCCCCTGTGTCGATGTCACAGTCTGCACTTTGCACGGTTTCCCACATGGCATCATCGGCATTTTCGCCCATGATGCAGAATTGACTGGCCCCAGAATCCAGAGCCCACGCTGCGCCCGCAAACTGTTGAAGTGCGTTCGGCCCGATATCGGCAAACCATGCGGAACCACCGAACCGCTTGGTGAGGAACTCCGAAAACGCCTTGGTGAGGACATCTGTCGGAACTGCAGGCCCAGTCCGAGCCCCAATGGATGCAGCTCCCAAACCAGGCGGCGCAGACGGCCCACCATTGGACGAAGAGGCACTGCTGCCATTGACTTTGGCCGCGAAGTCCGGCCTGTAAGCGGAACTTTTTGGATTCAACCAGCACTTTTGCGCTGTGTGTCCGGGCTTGTGGCAATGTTCACACGGCTTGTCACTGCCTTTCTTGCTCTTGTGCTTGCCCTTGCCTCCCTGAGACTTGCCGCCTGCCGCCGCGGCAGCAGCGGCCTTGGCTGCTGCAGCCTTTTTCTGCGCTTTTCGCCTTTCTATCTCTTCCGAGTGATGTGCAATCAAACCGTTGATGGCATAGATCAAGGCGTCTAAATCCACAGAATTGCTGGCATTGAAAACGGCAAAAGTGGCATCCAGTTCTTTGATGTCTTTGAGTTTGCGCTTCAGAAGCGCAATGCCCCCAGCATTCGTGAGCTTATGCTCGCCGGAACCCATCTGGTGACGAAGCAACGAAAAAGATGCCATGTAGCTGTCAAGCTCCGATAATCCAGAACAACTGAGCTCTTGGATCTTGGTGTTAGCCTCCGTGGCTAAATGCGTTGACTCATGCAAGTGCCGCTGATCAACGATGCGGACAGCCTGACGACCACAACCAAACTGTGCACGTGATTGTATCAGCTTGAGGATCTCCGGTCCTTTCTTGCCCTTCTGACATGCGGCAACCACCGCTGCGAAAACATTCACGTCTGTTTTGTTCATGTCTACGGACAAGTTTGACGCCAAATCGCCAAAGGAAACCGCTTCATCATCAAGCTCTCTGATGTAAGCCATGGCTGCCACTGGGTCCGGCGCTACACGCAAGATTTGACTCTTCAACGTGAAGCGCCAGCCCTCATAATCAGAACCAGTCTCTGGCAGATCTTTGATGTAGATGCGTCCTGATGTCGCATCGTCCGTCGCCATGGCACCTACAGCTACGGCTGATAACCCTGTGTTGGTCACAGCTCAATCAAGCACAGCTTTGACGTAGCAAGCATTTTTTCACCCGGTCACTTGAGCCAAGGCATTGCCAAGGCAAGTCTGATGCAATCATATGCAATCACTCTTGACTCACGGATGTCATGACATGTAAGGCATCAAACGTGAGCCAAGTACTTAAACTGCTCACACAGACAGGTAGCTTCGCAGCCATGATCAGCGCAGCCACGGAGCTCGACCCTGAGGCTACGATATGGCTACGATAGTCTCACTCGATGGCCGCAGCGCGTATGACAGCGACAGCCGCGCAGCCATCATGGGCAAGCTCAAGGAGGTGGCGCCACAAATCTTGCCCTTTGTCCGGTCTCTGTATGTGCGTGTCTCCACGTACCTGTGGTGAGAATGACAGCGGCCAGATCGCGCAGGCCGAAGGGGTCGAACAGGGCGACTCCCTCGCACCCGCGCTGTTCCGTCGTCACCTCCCCGTCGCGCGCCCGCGGCCAATTGGACGCTGTCACCGCCACCATCGAGCGTGAGGCCGGGGTCGCTGCAAACCTTGGCAAGACGCGTGTGTATCATGCCCGTGGCGGCCCTGCGCCGCCAGGCATACACGAGCTCGGTGAGGACGTGTGGCGCGGCGACAAGCCCCCCGCACAACGCGGGATCGTTGCTTTGGGAGTGCCCATTGGCCATGAGGAATTCATTCGGTCGTGCGCCAGTGGCCGCCTTGAAAAAGAGCGCCGCCTGCTGCTCCAGTTGCCTCAGCTCCCGGACCTGCAGTGTGCCTGGCTGCTGCTCCTTTTTTGCGTAGCTCCCCGCGCTCAGCACCTGCTGCACACTGTTCCACCGGCTGCGATAGCCGAGTATGCACGTGCGCATGACAATGCGGTCTGGCAGACGATGCAAGACATGCTGGGCGGCCGAGAGGCTGATGCTGAGGCTGCGCAGCATCAAGCCCGGGACATTGCCTTCCTTCCAGCCTCCCTTGGCGGTCTGGGCCTTTTGCATGCGGAGCGCATCTCGCCTGCAGCCTATGGGGCGGCATGGGCGGATGCACTGCCTGTGCTGCAACAGAGGTGTCCCGAAGCGGTCGAGCGTTGCCTGCAAGAGCTCGAGGCCGGTAACCAGGCTGCGGCGCCAAGCCTCCAGGCTGCCGCGGCTGCAGGCGTAGGTTCGTGGTGAGCCCGGCGTTTGGGCGAATGGTTGGCAAAGGGATGCTGCTCTCGCACGCCGCGCTTCTTTCCGAGAGCGGGTCTTGCTGCCAGCCATTCGGCCCAGCGACCGAGCGCTGCTGCGTTCCCAGGCACGTCCACATGCAGGGGCATGGCTCGCCGCCATCCCGCTGACCCCGCAACGACGCTTGCGTCAGACCTCATGCACCTCACGCTCCGGCGCCGAATGCGTTTGCCCCTACCTCTCACACGTGCGCGGTGTGGAGGAGGCGGAGCGCCCGGCTGCCGCGCTTTCGTCGACAACCTGGGAGACCACGCCCTGGCGTGCCCGCGCACTGGCCTGTTACCTCGCCGCGGCTTTGTGCTCGAGAGAGCTTGGATCCAGGTTGTCAGGGAGGCGATCGGGCAAGAGGGGCGAGTGGTGCCATTTACGGCGCTGCCGCGCGTGGCGAGGCTATGTGCTGCGACGCGACCCTAGTGTCGCCCATGCGACGCGATGGCAGCCCCCACGGCGTCGCACTGGCGGTGGCGCAGCGACGCAAGCTCGCACGGTACCCCGAGCTCACTCGCGGGGGCCCGCGTCGCTTGTGCGTTCTGGCTGCCGAAATCGGGGGGCGCTGGAACGACGAATCCCAGCGTCTAGTGCAGCGCCTCATCGCACTGCGCGCGCGCCGGGCCCCAGCCACACTGCGTGGTGCAGCCGCCCAGGGATGGGCGCGTCGCTGGTGGGGGGCATTGGCCGTTGCCGTCCAGCGAGCGGCCTGCAGCGCCGTCTTTGGCGTCTGGACGATGCCCCCGCTGCCTGCAGCTGACGACGTGCCGCTAGCTGAGGTCCTCCAGTACGCGGCGGACACGGCGCCCAGCAGGCTGCCTCTGCGTTGAGGGGTTTGCCGGGGACTTGGACATGTGACATGCGGGTGGAAAACAGGCGCGACAAAAAAAAAAAAGGACATACCTCGAACTCCTCCGCTCCGCACGGTGCCGGCTCGTTGTGGTCGGGATTGAGCTCGGAGGGCGGGAGCGAGGAGGCAGCCCAGTTCATCCGACTCCTCGCTCGTAACCGCTCCCGCGCAGCCCCTCCCCTGCTGCGATCCAGTGCCAGGGCCACTACGTCACCCGCTGGTCAGCCCTCCTCTCCTGTGCAGCCGCACGAGCACTTGCCGCGAGCCTTCTCTTTCTATTAACGTGTACTAAACTCTACGCAATTCACTCTATGCAATTCACTCTATGCGCTTCACTCTATGCACTTATGCACTTCACTCTATGCGCTTCACTCTATGCACTTCACTCTATGCACTTATGCACTTCACTCTATGCACTTCACTTTATGCACTTCACTCTATGCACTTCACTCTTTTCACTCTACGCACTTCACTCTATGCACTTCACTCTATGCACTTCACTCTATGCACTTCAGTCTATGTTGTTGGGTCAGAGGGCTCCGCACGGAAGAACCCTTCGCGATGCTTTCGGGAAAAACTACAAGCCTTAATTGTGATGATCCTGGCCGACTCTGCCAAGGGCCCAACCCTTGCCAGCCGCCTGGCGTGAGCATCCTGTTCGCCCCCGAACATGCAGGCAGGCATGTGCGATGCCCCTTGCACTGGGGACCGCGTTGGCCGGTGGAGAAAAAATGTGCAAAAAAAGGTTACACCTTCGTGTGGAAGCCGGACGGTGTGGGCACGGGCAGCGCGCGGGGCGGCTTGCGTTGCCGCGATGACACAGCGGAGCCGGCAGCGCCAAAATCTGTTGCGCGTGTCGACTTTGTGGTTTCCAGCGTCCACCCTTCAGAGCCATGCGGCCCTGTCGAGTGATGAACCATGTGACCACCTCCGTGGATGGCAGCGTCGTGCTGCCCCTGAGCGCACGTTCGAAACGGTTTTTCGAACCTCTCACCTGCCGCGCGAGCGCTGCTGCTGTCACAGACCGTGCGTTTTTGCCTCGCGCGCCATCCTTCTTGAGCGAGCACTCGCCAGGGTGTGCCGCGAGGGCGCGCGCGTGTGGCCAGGAACGTGCGGCTGGTTGACATGAGTTTGGATGTGCCCGTGCAAGAAGCCCGGCGCAATGAGGTTGTTTGCAACGAGCTGCCCCTGTGGCACGGGGAGCAATTCGCAGTTGACGCCACATTGCCCTCTTGGCCGGGGCATCTTCGTTGTTTAGGCCATCCGCCGCAAACGACGCCGGACTCGTCCCGAGTTAGGGCGGGCGTGCAGCTGCCGCCTGGTTGTGTTCGTGATCGATGTAGGCGGCAGTTGGGTTTCCGAAGCAGCTACCTTCGTCCGTTGGCCGGCCAGCAGAGGTGCATGCCTCTCTCCGGGCAGCTGCCAGGGCGGCTTGGGTCCGGAGATGGCGCGGCATCCTGAGAGTGTCCCTGCGCGAAGTCCTCGCCGACGCGCGCTGGCAGATTCCAGAGGCCGAAACGCCGTGCACAAGGACCCACATGGATAAAGCAGGCGGAAAAAGGTCCGAGGAAAAAACGTCCACCCGCACGTGTCGATGACCGCCGCCCGTGAAAAATGGTGCAGATAAAGCTGTTTGCAGTGTGCTGATTCGTTCGTCGGTTTTTGAGGCGTGGACACCAGCCGAGTCCACGCATAGCCCACGTGAGGAGATTTCGCCTGAAGACCTTCGGCCTTCTGACTTTGCAGCTGCTCCTGGTTTTCGCCGTGATGGAATTTTGGTAGCAGATCATTGCATGAAACGGGGTAGCCTCCACATCGTGTGTATTGGCAGGCGCTCGTGGATTATGGTAAGTTATGGGAAAAGATCATCCCGCAACATTTGCCTGATGCGTGTCACCAGGCTATCTTGATTCCAAGTAGTGGGTGGAGAGTGCGGAGACCATGGCAAATGAGTTTCCACGCGGGTGATTGTGCGACAGGTCGTCTACTACGCCATTGGTTTTGCAAACTTGCTGAGCGTCGTGGGCCTGTATTTCACCAAGGCCACAACTGCAAGCTCATAATGCGCGGGTGTTGCCTTGAGATTGTAGGATCGCTATCCATTGAATTACGGGCGGCTGGACTGCAACACCTTGACACGCATAACGTTTCACCAGTGCGTAACAAATTTACGAAATACGTCTATCAAGGTTCATGGCAACAACGACCCTTCTGTCCGGCTTCTTTTGGGGCATGTGCCTTGGCCTGTAACAGCAAGTTGCTGGCGTGAAATTGCAAGCAATGCTGTGCCACCGAATAGGACGCGCTCCCATTCTGACGTGACTATGCACTTTCAGCTCCTTGGTGCATGCTTGGTTGACACACGTACATTTACCATATCGTGCCTTGTGACAGTTTTGATCATTATCAGGCCAGTGCGACATACAGCTGAGGATCGTAGGCATTTTGATGTTTACGATGTGTGCTGCCGCGGTATCTTGGTTGACACTGGGCGCCTTCAGATTCTTTGTGTTTGACGGCTGAGAACGGGCGTTTGCTGAATGGAGGTGGTTTCCTCCGTTCTCGGCAGCAAGGACGTCAAACTGGGCAGCGGTTCTATGTTGTTGGCTTCCTTAGCATCTGGATGGCTATTCGGCTGTGTGATCAACGCGCGGGTCCCATTTTTCCTGTACGTCGCTTCGCCTTGCTTCGCTGGCAATGTGCTTGGTGTGTTGAATGGTGTGGAGCATCTTCCTAATGGAAGGCACTGGTTTGCACAGTCTGGTTGCCGACGGGGTCCCTTGAAGTATTGGCGGCCACAGGCTGCTCTGAGTGCAATTGCCGTCACTTACCCACCACTCCCACCATTCTCAGAAATCCACATCCACATTGAGGCTTCTCTTTCTTGCTGGTTTGCATCATGCTCCTGGATGCAGGCGCAGTGTGTGGAATGGGAACAGTCGCCTTTTGTGCCACACAAGCATGCAACCACCGCAGGCAAATTTTTGGTGAGTTGCGAACCGGACGACTTCATGTGATTTGGCTACAGTAGTGGTGTTTGCTGTGTGGTGGCTGCCTTATGTAGAATTGAGCAACTGATAGCTAAGGAGTGTGATCGTCTCAATGGATTCGTCTTTACTCGTGATTGCTGGAGCCACAGCCTTGTGACTGCTGAATGTAGCGGACCGGCATATGCACCAAGGTCAGTATCCCGTTCTTTGTGCTATCATTCTGTTTGTTGCACACTGGTGAGGCGGGGTCTGGATTGTGCTCAAGAGCATAGGACGATGAGGACGTTTTGTGGTTCGTGTGAGTTCCTTGCGTTACCACTCGCTTGCTTAAGGCAGTGCTTGACCCTACCGTGGACGTAGAAGCCGGGCATCCGCCCGCGGACCACATCGGTGCATCCAATGCTTTTGTGGCCTGGATATGGCAGTATTGTATGGCACGATTTTCGGGATGTTTCTCAAGTGGCCTTCAAGTGGATGTAGACTTCTGCAAACGTCTGCGTGGGCGGCCTGTGCTGCCATGATCAGGTGATCGCTTGAGATGCTGTGGCACTAAACGTGCAACATTTAGTTGTGATTGCCGCCGCGGATGGGTTGGCCACTCACGCGCGATGACTCTTATGGTTGAATTACGTTGAATTCATGGACCAGTTGCGCATGCTACAATTCACTGTTGCACTCTGCAGGTTTACACCCTGCGCTGGTCATGTTGTGTTGCTTGTCCATATGAAATTGAGATGGCAGCGCTCCCATGACGTGTTGCATAGAAAGACAGGTCTCGCTTCAGGGCTCACAAGTTGCCCCGAGTTTTAAGCTTGTGAGGGAATCAGAAGTGCCACAAATTTCAAATTTTGCCCATGAATGCGTAGGCTATGTAAGATGTTGTCCCTCAGAAGCGGGAAAGCAGGACAGACTGTCAGCATTCCTTGTGGCGAGGATGGCTTGGCCTGTACAGAGTGGATGCGCAACTGGTCTTCCGAGCATGCGGCACAGAATTTTCGAATGGCTTGGCAGCCACTGTAAAGCTGCTGCTGGGCAAGACTTCGGGGCTGCGCGGGCCGCATACGTGGCTCGGTGGTGCCGGGACAGTCTCGCCAAGTTAGCAAAGCTGCCAGGAGGCAACCCAGACGCGGAAAAACACTTGGTGGCATCAGAGTAATGTCATCTGCGCGTCGCTGTCCACCCCCCCGCCCCTCGCCCCTCTTCCCCCAAGAAAGCGACTTGGACAGCTGTTCCACAGCAGTTTCTCAAACCCAGAAGACATGACTTGGTAGCCCCCGATACGATTGCAAAGCTCATTGAAGCGCAGCCAGCAAGACTTGGGTTGCACAGTGTCTCCCAAGACATGTAGTCATGTAGTCGAGAGGGGAGGGGGATCAGGGGTGATGGTAGCTACAACTTCTATCATCTGTCGTGAATTCAAAGATAAGAAAGTTATGCCTGCAGACATGCCTCCACCGCTGGCGCGCTCAATGCCCGTGGCATCCGCCGCCTCAGGCTGTTGCAATCGGTGGTTTCTTTGCTCTGTCAAAGAGCACCCTGATATTCTGGTATGCCTTGTGCACCTCCGCAGTGACCCAGCTGTGGCCCCTGACCTGTCAGTCTCGCTGGCGCGCTCCGTGTGCTGAGCTCGGTATGTCTGCAGCTGCCACGATGTGCCGGCTTTGGTGTGCTCACATTCCCAGGTCTGCCCCCAAGCTGCAAAGCGTTGCTTTCCAGCCCGGGATCCCAGAGCCAATCAGCGTACCAGTCCACTGGCATCGAAATGCTTGAAAAAGCCGAATGGGCTTCTGTGAGTCGTAGGCCGGTGATGGTGTCTGATGGGCTCTCAGTGATGCTCATTGGCCAATGCGTCATGCGACCAGTTCCTCTTTGAGCGGAACATGCACAGATGTGCACAGATGTGCAGCGCACGATAGAGAAGTCATGCCAAGGTCAACCGCCCTCAGCCGCTTCTGCGTGGCACTCGGTGTGCGAATCTAGATCTCCTCCAAGTACCCTCGTAGAGCGCCCGAAGAGCGCCGGTTCCTACACGTGTGCCGTGCTTTCGACGACTGGTTTGCCACATCGTGGGTTGCAACTTCCGGGGGCGATCTATTGCCATCACTGGAACGAACGTGTCAGAAAGTTGTTTCTGCGGGGTGCGAAGACTGGCCCAAAACTTGCCGACACACTATTGGAGAGATGCAAGACACGTCGATGGGCTAGGCGGGCACTTTGTCGATGGAGCTCCGCTTTGTATTCATTTGCGCGATTCAACAGTCTGCACTCATGGATGGTGGAAGTTTGGCACGACAACGGGCAACAATTTCGCAATAAGTTCTTGGTGGCTATGGAACGTCGCCTTTGTTTGATTGTACATACATCACAGAAGTCTGGAACGCGGCTCGCTTCGCAGATCCGCAGTCGAAGACACATAATGTAGTGTCACTGTGCTGTGCACTTGCGCGCAAGATTTCAAGCAAGATCTCTAGCAACATCCTTCATGTTGATGACTTGCTACGGCGACTCCCGGTGCGGGGCCAGGTGTTGGAGTCCCCTTTACGGACAGGTGCTCGTGCCATGGTTGGAGTCGCAAAGCAAGTCCATATACCAACGAAGTTGCTTAGGCCCGGCTTAGGAGCTTAGTAGGGCGTAGGCCATAAATGCTCACCGGGTTCGGGCCCTACAATGTTTGCAGCGTCTGCGCATCACTTCTTTTCGTTTTCATTATTCTTTTTTTTCTCTGTTCTATCTTCTTCTCTTCTCCTTCTTCTTGTACTTGATGCCTCTCTCTTCTTTCTCCTCTTTCTTTCCGAAGCGGTTCACAGGTCAGCCATGGCGTGACGCCACCGGGTTGCGCCTTCTGTGTCCTCTCCGTCTTTAGCCCCGCATCTGAACGGTATCAGTGCGTCTCGAGATTTTTGATCGCACAACTGTGTCAGCGAGTCACCTCATTTCAAACTTGGGCTAGTCAGCAATACCCTATGGCCAGCCTTTCTGCGATTGAGCGTGACGCCACTCGTCTAACGAACCCATGCAAAGCCAGTATGGAACAGGTTGATGAATGTCGATGACACACAAGACTATGTGGCAGATCTTCTCGCTCGTGTGCGTGTTTCATTTACCACTGGGATGAACAACAACAGTAGATGGCCTGATCCACCGATGCACATGGGGTTCGAGCCGCACAGAGACTGTTGTTATCTGTGCCGCAATGCTGAACCACCCTGCGTCCCCCGACTGCGATCGGCCAATGTGTTGATGAAGCTTAGAGTTAGGCTCTGAGTAGACGATGTCAGACGTATGGCTTGTGTATTTTGAATTGGCTATTTATGCACCGCCCTCAGAAGTCGGACCCTGGTTCACTGGTTCTTGGAATTTCGTGTCCTCAGAGTCAAGAAGGGTGCTTTTCATTGCCAAGGACACGGCTGGAACCGGTTGCCGCCGTAAGTTCGAAGGTGCGATCAGTGGGCAGCAGTGCTCTATGGCCCTATCAATATTTCCTTCAAGGTTTCGTGTTTCCGTATGTGCGACGGAGCATCGATGATTTCTTGTACTTCCTTAAGCTTGATTTTGTGAATTGGTGGCCATACGTTATGTGAGCGTGCGAGTCGACAAATTCGGTACTGCTCTGGGGAAAGGCGTGGCCACCTGGTGCCGTTCGCAGGTTTAGCGCGGCGCAGATGCCCCAGTCTGATGGCTACATTCATTGCAGTAGACATTCAATCTCGAGTTGCTGAGATCAAAGTGCGAGGGTGAAAGCTAAAGCTATTTGTTCGGCTCACGAAGTCCTCGAATTGGAATGAGGCTGCCACCTGCAAAGCCCGTGATGCCGACGCCCAAGAAAAAGTGGGAAGTTGGGGAAGTGCTTGGTGCTCGTAAATCTGCTTCGATGGCTTCATGGACCTCCACCCATTCTAGCCGGCAGCTCCGCCGTAGCCTTGTGCGGACAAGCAGATGCGAAGACCTTGCTGCAACACCGCCCACGCTTCTTTGCCTTGATTCACGCTGCTGCGCCGACGCCCTTAGCTGAGGCAGACGCCCGTACACATACCGCGGCAGGCCTCATGTTTGGTCAACTCGGTTTAGTCAGTTCAACACAGAGGAAAAGCCTGAACAAGTGGCTCTTGTCTTCACACTTTTGGCTTCGTGTCGCTCAGACAGTGCTCCTTTCATGTTTTGGGCACAAAGTGGGTCGGTCGGTTTCATGAAGCTTTTCTTACGGAGGACTACCTCGACTCACCGTGAATTCGTTCCCAGGCATCCTTGCAGCATCTTCCTCTGTCCTTCGTGTCGACGGTCGGCAGCCCAGCTTGCTGTTGGCAGGTGCAGTCATGCACCGTGCCGGTGGTGCGCAGCACGGCCACTATGCTTGATTTTCGTTCGCTGTCCGCAGGCAGCAGGGAGCACTGACACCTCGCGTGGACCGTCTTCGTCCAGAGCTCTGCCATCTTGTGTGCTTTTGCTACAACATCTCTTGGAATTGTGTTTGTGAGGTCTGGCGAGCCGAGCCAATTAGACAAGGCCAGGGTGGCCATGTGCTGTGACTTTGTCCAGCGACACGAAACGCGCTGGAGGAGACCGGACCGACCGAGAAGGAGGAGGTACTTCCTCCGCTCCCCTTCCTGCTCTTTTTCTCTAGGGCATCCTAGGGAACAAGAACTAGAGACTCCAATCACCGGTCAGTTTTCTGACATTTTGCTCTGAGCTGCATGCATGGCATCGTGACGTTGTGACAATTGTGCGCCCGTGCCACAAGCCAGTTCAGGCTTCAGGGCATAAAGTACCGCTGGCAGCACAAGTCAAAGGGGTTTGCATGGCAGGGGAGAAATGCCCAGGTTCTTCCATGACAGGGCTTCAGTTGGACCGGGGATCTAGCAGACACCAGAAAGCTACAGCTTGACATCGCTCACAGACATCTCTGCCGCAAAGCAGATGACGATCTTGTTGTTGCTTCTCGTGCAGCTTGTTCGTGTTGCTTGCCTGCAATCTGATCTGTGGTTCCAGTGTTCGCTGCTGTGAATCTCAGCTTGTTTCGCAGTATTCCTCAGGTCAGGTGTGAGGGATCCTCAGCCACGGAGAGCTTTCGATCGCGTTTGACCTCGCCGAATTGCCAGCAGCTCGTGGGATTCGTCCCATAAGTTGTCAGAGGCGGAGTCAGTGATTCAGTTCTGTCAGCTTCGCCCCATGTCGAGGTGCCCAGTTTGGTGTTTCTTTCCGTGGGCAGGGAGACTGGAGAGCGGGAGAGGCTCTGAAAGAACTCTTGTTGCGCATCAAGTCGCAGAATTCTCTGAAGACATGTGGGCCTGGGGGCAGATTTTGAGTCAGGTGTTGTTGACAGCCTTGCAATGCCAAGCGTTCGCTCCTCAAGCTTCCCAGCATCGGCTCCATCCTGTTGAAGTGTTGACAAGAGGGAACAGCCCGCAAAGAGAGGGTCGGACAAGAAGTGACAGCTGTTGTATCTTAGGACGGTTGGCCTCAGAGTTCCCTACTTTTTGAACTGCCCCCTCTGACTTTCGCTCTCTCCCTCTCTCTCGGTGGGGTTGTTGTCTCAAATAATCTTGTTCTGGGTGTCGGCGGTCAAATGGTCGTGTCATTTCTTGTCCCGCTTTACCTGCAGTCAGGTCTTGCAAAGCAAACTCGCTTCAGCCTTACTGGTGCTGGTGCTGGTTGGGTTTCAGGATAGGGACGGCGTAAGGGCAAGCCACTAAGGCTTTGCAAGTTCTTTACCTTCTACCCGGAGTCTGGCGAGTGCTTCCTTGGAAATCAGGCTGGCAGCCGTGTGCGCAACAGTCGTGAGAACGGTTGGCATGCTAATGTTGAGCTGCTGACATTGTACTCCGGTGCTCATGACGACTAGCGAATCTTATGCGGTGTATGTTCCAAGGTGTCGGTTGTCTCTCTTGAGCGTGGGTTTTTTGGACTCGGAGCCCAGGCGAAGAGCATGGATGCCAAGGCCATCAGCGGACCTGAGGACCTCCAGCAGCTCTAGGGAGAGGCAGACATGGCAGTGCGTGTGTAGGACTGCCCGTCGCCTGCAGCGGAAACCGGCCAGACGAACTCGAGCTTCAGCTACAGATAGTGCGCATGAGAGCGGGAGGTTCTAATTCTTTCCAATTGCAGGGACTTGGGCGATCGGGCGATGTGACTCGGGTGCCAAGGAGTGCCCTCTTCATTCCTGGAGCGTGCCATTTTAATGGACAAGGTGGCGAATGTGGCTGAATTGTTCTTGTGTTACGCGACGGTCTCTGAGCACTGCGCAGAGCTGCCAGCCTTGCGAGGAGAGCTCTTTCAGGCGGCTGTGCAGGTGGGGTCTGGTCTGTGAGAAAGGTAAGGGGGGATGAGAAAGGTGGGATGAAAGCTCATGGTGGCCGGATGAAGCAATGACATTAGGAGCCGAAGAGGGCATGTGGAGCGGACAAGGTGCATGGTAGTTGGAGCCGGTTGTCAGGGCGATTGTGCCAGGCATCTCAGTTTGCCGCGAAGCAAGCGGCTTCAACCGTGAACGCTACGCAGCCAGATGCACAGGTGCATTGGGTTTGGTTGACTCGGCCGAAAGTTTCTGGCGTTCCATGGCAGGTTCTGGCTGTGGCAGCCGAGGCGCAGGCAGTTGCCAGGCCCATGAACATGCAGAAGAAGAGCTTTCTGATCCGCACACGGTCTTGTACCTTCCCGCAGGAGGGCCAGCTTCCCGGTGCTGCAGCAGCAGGTGCAGGCTGCTGCCGCTGGCTCAGCCCTCGCTGCACGGCGGGCCCGTGCTTCGGGAAAGGAGCGGGCCTGTGTAAGCTGGATGAAAAGGTCGGATGCAACATCCAGATGTAGACTGCCACAACTGTGCTTGTGTGTGTGTGTGTGTGTGCGCACGTCGGTCTCACTTGGTTTTTGTTCGTTAGTTGCCGTGAGTTCTATCCCTATATGCACAAACTGGCCCAAGATTACAGCCTATATAGCCGTGTCGCTGCTCGCCCCAAGGGGCAAGAGTTGGGGCATGCGGCATCAGAGCCACTGGGCCCTGGTTGCCTGTTTTCTTTGGCCATGTGCCTGGGCTGGAGGTGGCCGGTTCATGGCCCTCGAGGAAGCGGTGGAAAAGGCACGGGTCCTGGCCGCTGAGCTGAACCGCACGGAGATTTATGGCTTGGTGAAAGGTATGAGCTACCCGGACTGGACTTGGAACCCCCGGCCAGGCTATTTTGTGGGGAACACAGCGCCAGTTCCCGGCAAAGGCATCCCGTCTCTCAACCTCCAAGACAATGGGCAAGGCTACCGAACCTTTGAACCTCGGCAAGTACCTCAAGTGACAGCCTTCCCATCGACGTTGGCAATGGCTGCCACCTGGGATGAGAAGCTAGGAAGGGTTTGGGGAGAGGCGCTTGGGCGCGAGTTCTTCGCGAAAGGATCCAATGTCATACTCGGTCCCGGGCTCAATGTGCACCGGGTCGCGCGGAATGGGCGCAACATTGAGTATTTATCTGGAGAGTCAGCGTATTTGGGTTCACGGCTTGTCTCGGGCTATGTCGAGGGTGTGCACTCCCAGCATGTCCTCACCGTCATGAAGCACTTCATTGCCAATCATCAGGAAACGCGTCGTTCGGACGTTGATGCGCAAGTGGCCAACCGCACCCTTTTCGAAACATACTACCCTCCCTTCCAGGCGGCTATTGATGCTGGGTGCCTTGCGACTATGTGTGCCTACAACAAGGTCAATGGCCATCACGCCTGTGGCAATCCTGAGACTCTGGCAGGCCATCTCAAAACCAACATGCAGTACAAGGGCTGGGTCATGAGTGACTGGTGGGAACCTTGGCTCAGCTTTATCTGACAGTGGCTTGTTTCGAGATGAAACGTTTCAGGGCCCGAAGTCCTTCAGAACCCGTACAAAACTGTGTCATTCCGGGAGCCATAGGGGGAATAGGGTGAGGACCTGGGGACTCAGGTTCACGTGTCCCAGGAAGCGACACTGGGGGGGCGGTTTTGGCTCCAAAATTGCAGAAGGTCGGCGCATCCCGTCGCATGATAAAAATTGTTTTTGTGTTGCTGTTCAGGAAGCTGAGGGTCGGGCTGCCACACATTTCTAAAGGTCGATTCAGACAGTCAGATGCTCAGACAGTTAGACAGTCAGACATCGGGGTGACAGCGTCTGGGTGTCTGCTTGCCTGAGTGTCTGACTGTCTGAGTGCTTGACTGCGTGTGTGTGACTAGACAGTCACATACTCAGACACTCAACCTGAACAGCACTTTTGGGACCCGTGTCTTTAGCACGTGGATCCATCCTGCTCTATGTGCCGGCTCATAAACACAACACAGGGTTCCAATTGGTGCTTTTGGGAGCACATGCCTCCTACACCCACAGATGCGAGATATGTTCAGCCTCGGAAACGCACTTTGTGCGTCCCTTGTATACGTAGAATTGGGAGTGTCTGAGCGCCTGTTTTAGTTCTACATCCTCGTTGCGCGTTCTACCATAGACTATGTTTTCGCTTTGTAATGTTGCAGAAAGACAAAGAGTTCGCACACTTCTGATGTCGGCCGGAAGCTGTTTCATAAAGAGCGGAGACCCTGGCAGTTTCTTACTTAAAGTATGAAATGTGAAACAAATGGTGCAGTCCGGCAGGAAGTGAACGACTACTGGAAGACCCACGCTTGCGGTACCCTAAACTTGAGTCGTCACGTTATTCCTGCATGCAATTTTCCTTGCTTTACGTCCACAGCTTCCACGGCATGTTTTGCACAACTTGTGGCTCCAACATGGTCAGGAAGGGTGAGGGGTGGGGCCGGGTGGGGTAGCAGAAATACGCATCTGCGAGCTTTCCAAGAGGACTGCGTGATGGAACGGCATGCAAAAATTCGACTGACAATTTCTAAACACTGTACTTTGTTGTCGCTGTCGTTGATGGCCAACAAAGGCGCGGTACGCGCCATATTTGCCCCACCCCAGCCAGCAATCAGAAGAAAGCAGGAAGAAAAATCCCACGATCCCCTCACAAGACAATCGTCGCCCATGGCTGCTGTGCAGCAATGCCCGCAGCGCAGATCAGAGCACGAAAACAGCTAAGCCCACCCAGCAAGAACCCAGGCAAAACCAAACTTCAGGACTCCGAGTTGCTGTGAAGTAAGGAATTACGAGAAATAGCCCCAAAACAAGTATCGAGCGCCGGATTCGAGTACTTGAGTTGAAGTAAACAGTGCATTGCCATCTAAGCCATGAGTTTGGTTTTGGATGGTTGGTCCCTGGCTGTGCATAGTTGCGTCCCGCGACAACCCAACATGACAATGTCCGGAACTTGTCTTGGCGAACAATAAATAAGGATTGACGCTGAAAACAGTGGATCAATGGGAGGGGGGTTACCACATGTATATGCTCCATGATTTTGTTCGCCACGTTTTGCTGCACTTCATCTTAGGCGACTCACAGCTTCGCTGCCGTGGATGGCTTAGATCAAGAGATGCCTGGGAACTGTATCTCCCTTAAACCAGATTGGCAAGTGTTCTTTACTCCAGAGAACTTAGATACACTTCCGGAGGAGAAGGTTCAGGACATGGCGACACGGATCCTGACTGGCGTGGTCCGCTATGGGCTCATGGAGCATCGTGTGTGCGAACCGGCAGACGGGGGCTGCTTGGAGGCGCAGTTCGAGGTTGTTGCCACCACCCCAGAACATCAGAAGCTTGCACGGCGAATTGTGGCCGATTCTGTTGTGCTGCTTAAAAACGATGGGGATGTCCTGCCCCTCGCCCCGGATGTCAAGAAGATTGCGCTCTTGGGTTCAGCTTGCGATCCTCCAAATGACGTGGAGGAGTTGTTGAAAAAGTGGGACATGCCCAACTATTACACCTTTGGTGGATCTGGTCGTGTGGTTCCTAACAACCCGCTGTCAATTCTCAAGGCTGTTGAATCATACTGCAAAGAATCTGGTTGCGAAGTCGTGTCTGAATTGAATGACACGGTGGCGGATGCTCTGAGCGTTGCCGAGGGCGCCGACTTGGCAGTGATCTGCTCGGCCACCACATCTTCTGAGGGCTATGACCGCTCAAATCTATCTGTCGATCAAGAGGACTACGTCGTGGAGGTCGCCAGTCAGCTGATCGGGATCCCAAAGATTTCCATCAGTATCATTCCTGGATCCATCGTTATCCCATGGATCGACCACGTCGACGCGGCCCTGGCTGTGTTCTTGGCTGGAGAGGCCACTGGAACAGGGATTTTGGATGTGCTGAGTGGTGCGGTGGGGCCTGGAGCCAAACTTCCAGTGACCTTTCCCCTCAAAGAGGAGGATGCCATTCAACCCTGTGAGAACAACACATGTGAGTACACAGAGGGTCTTTTCGCTGGCTTCCCATGGTACGAAGATAAAGAGGTCGCCTTTCCGTTCGGTCATGGCTTGTCATACACAAAGTTTGCATACGAACTGCTCTCGCTCGGGCCCGACTGCGAGGGTGAAGCACCGCCCAGGCCTGGGCACCCCAGGCCTGGGCACCCCAGGCCTGGGCGCCCCAGTCGGCCACCAGCCAATGGGCTCAGAGGGCGTCCACCGCGTCCTACACGCCCACGGCCACCCTCAGAGCAGAGCCTGGCCTGTGCGGTGGTTGGGCTTCGAAATGTTGGAGACGTGAAAGGTGCAGAGGTAGTTCAGATGTACCTTGGCTTTCCAGAAGGTCTTGATGAGCCGCAGAAGCTGCTCCGTGGCTTTGAGAAGGTGCGCCTGCCGGCCGGTTTGTCAGACCTTGTAAAGCTGCCACTTAGTGCACAAGACCTCTCCGTGTGGTCAGAGGATGACCACTGGTATATCCCTGAGGGAACCTTCAAGATTTACATAGGGTCGTCCAGCCGAGACATCCGGGCTGAGGCAGACTTTGTTGTGGCCGATGGCCAAGTCATATTCTGAGAATTTCTGAGACTAAATTCGTCAGCTCAAGTCTGACGGCTTGCACTGCATGCACTCCCTCACGAGTCTTTGCAGGTCAAACCTGGACCCGCGAATTCCTTACAGTTTCCTGACTTTTGCAGCCTTTTGTGGTCTGCACTGCACGATGCAGGCGGACAGCTTTGCCATGCTTTGCCAAATGTTGGCGACACAACAAGAAAAACTTGCAGGTATAGGTACACCGGCTGACAAAGCGTGCGCTTGGCTGATGCAACATGCCAGGACCTGTCGACCCAAGCGGAAGACGCAGCCTCTGCTGCGAGCCTCGTGGTCAGACAGCTGTCCACTCAGGACCAGGCGGGCCGCCTTCGGACGAAACATTATGGAGTACTCGAAAAATCCTGGAGGGAGGGTCAGAAAAGGTCTTGGCGCGGCCTGGGCGGAGTCATTTGTCAAGGGGTATGGCAACACTCTTAAAAAGTTGGGCCAGTTGGGCGAAAGCGGGGCCAGTTGACGTTTCGCCGCGCCGTGTTGCGCATTGCATCCCAAATCGGGGCCCAGCTAATCTTGTGGTCTTGTACTTGCACTCCTTGTCGAACATGTTCAGAGCTGCTTTGTCTGAATGATCTTCCTGTCAGAGGTGATGATTGGTATTTGAAGCAAAAGTACGAGTGTGTAAGGGTGTAAGGGTGTGTGTGTGTGTGTGTGTGTGTGTGTGTGTGTGTGTGTGAGTGTGAGTGTGAGTGTGAGTGTGAGTGTGAGTGTGAGTGTGAGTGTGAGTGTGTGTGTGTGTGTGTGTGTGTGTGTGTGTGTGTGTGCGCGTGCGCGTTGCAGATTGTCGCTATCCGCTATCCAAGAGGCATAAAGTGTGGCTGTGATGGGGGCCGTCTCTAATTCTGGGTTCTTAGGGGTGATTCGTGGGCAAGGCTGAGAGCCAAGATCCGCCGGATATTTGCTGTTTAAAAGAGGTTATGACTCAAAGACCCTTGTGATCACCATCATGCAGACCTTAACCACTTTTCCCCGTCTTAGCATCTTGTTCCCGTGTTCATTGCATTCATTGCGTATATGAATATCAAAGTGGCAAGCGAGAGCGCGGGTAGTGTCAATATGATAACCGCGTGTGAAAGCATAAACGGAGAGAATGAACAAGCGAGTTTACGAAATGAGTTGCATCAACAAATACACGAAGTGCGTGAGTGAACGAAACACGTGCGCCCAACAAAGATAATTATTAGGGGCACGTAAACAACAAAAAGAGAACAAAAAGACCATGTGATTTCTATCCGGGGTGCTGCCTTCAGTTTCAGGCAGTGCCCCAGCACGCCAAGCCGACACTGAGTTGGTTAGGGAGCGGCCATAGGGGGAACGGCTATCTGTGCCGTTGGCCGAGGAGGCTCCCCCTGGTTTGCCGCCGGTGTGTGTGTGCGTGTGGTTGGACTGGTATGCCCTTGCGCCCCCAGCTTAGTACTCCTGCGCGGGATCGCAGTAGGAAGAGCTGTTGGGTCTGAGAAGCGAGCTGTCTTGCCAAGTGACCAAATCCAACCCAGGCTGGCTTGAGGGTACTCTCTCTTGCTGGTTTGGGGGGGCGGGCTCGTGGAGACTCGGGTGGTGCAATGAAGCTCGGATAGAGGGGCCCGGCTTGTTGAACTGTTGCCGAAGCCCTAATGACGTCAACGGAAGGGCAGAGATGGCGGCAGGGACCAAGCTGTAAGGCAGAGAACACCCGTGCCGTCCACCACCACCACCACCATGTAATTTCTAATTGAAAGTATAATAAGTGAGTAAGCGATCGCATGATTTTCGATTATAGATTTTTCAGCTCGCTTGTGGCCACATGCTTTCGCTCTTCCGTTTGCACCTGAAATTTGTGGTTTCCGCCACCAACCCTACAAAAAGACCAAATTGGGAACGCAAAATAGACCAAACCAAGCCTTTTCAAGCGGTCTTCCTCCCTCTCTCTCTCTCATTAACTTGTCGCGCCCGGAACTTGCGTCTTGCCAACCCAGTCAATCTACTTATCATTTTTGATATGGGTTTCTTGCGCTCCCTTATTCCGTGCTCTGTGCTTCTTTCATCCGTTTAGTCCTTTTCCCATGTTCCCATGTGAGGCTGTGCTTTTCGCCCTAGCCGCGGCATTTGCCAGCGGTACTGGAGAAGGGCCAGCAGGTCGGGAAGCCGCTATCGAGGCCCGGCACCATTCTGTTCACATTTAGAGGGCCTCGATGAGCCTCGACATGGCGCCTTGCGATGCTTTCACCACTTCAAATTGTCGGCAAATACAGCATGGCTGTTGTGGACAGGTGGCGCTTCGCACAACACTGAAAGGGGCGCTGGCTGCTGGACTTTCCTGGGACCAGCAGCAGGCTGCGTCCGTGCCGGCACCTGGGAGGGATGTGGCAACACGTAGTGACCATGCGGTTGGCCAGGTCTTGCAGGTGCAAGTTGCGGGACTCACGGCCGCGGTGAATGCAAAGGCCGACAATCCAAAAGAAGACTTGACTTCTGGATTTGTGGCAAACTCACTGAGAGCCGCGATGGTGACAGGCAGCGCATGAAAGCGTCGGGCAGCAGCAGTTTGCCGCAAAAGCTGCGGCGCAAAAGCAGGGAACCCGCCCACTCCTCAGCACATTTTGGGCATGTTTGTGGCCTTGCACTCCGAAGTTGGGATGGGCAGCTTGTGCAGGGGCTGCGGGGAGCCTCCTCTCCGAAGAGCACGTGATGAAGCTGGCCGATGATCTGGCTGCTCTAATGGTCCGCCTCCCAAAGTTGAGCGAGCAAGCGAAGCACACACTTAAGCAAGCTCCGCAAACCAAAAGCAAGCCAAAACAAAAAACCAAGTAGTCGCAATCCTTCCCTCTGAAATCGACTCAGGCCACTGGTCTTACAGTTTCCGGGAAGTCCGTTCCAAGTGCGGTCGCGAACCTTGTCTGGCTTTGCGATGGCTTCAATCAGGTGCCAGTTCGGGATACGAGAGTGGAGAGCGACCGTTAGAAAGCAGCAGCTTAAAGTAGCAGCTTAAAGTAGCATCATAAAGTAGCAGCTAAGTTCGTAGCATAAAGTAGCATGATGTCTGCAGAGGCCTTCGACGTCGACCTTCCGGAAGCCGCTGCGTCAATAGCCGAGCAGCGTGCCGCGGCCTTCCTCCAGCCACTGACAGGCAGAGCATGCTCCGCATATGATCTCAGCCGTGATGTGATCCTCTGATCCTCTTCATATGCGGAGTGCGCTGCTTTCTTGGAGAGCTGTTGATATGCCGAGTTGAGCATATGCCCCTTTTTTGGCCGCAGCTGTTCCCGGAACACGCAAGCAATGAGCAGCTCAGACTCATGTGTGCGGCTTGAGCACATCACGTCGAGACCGTCTATAGAGTCTAAATCCCAGAAGTCCATTCAGTTTCGCCCACAAGCTCTTGCTTGTCGATGCTTCGCGCGCATGCCGACAAAGCTGCTGAAGAGGAAGCGCCCAAAACCAGAACCCTCCACTGCCCAAGCCCCGGATACAGACACAGCACGTTGGAGCATTGTGTAAGCCTCACGCGTCTGGCATTCTTACACTGCAAGTCTTTGCGCTGCAACGAGGCAGGGCCTCTGGCAACGAGCACTGAGAAGTCGACGCCGGCCTGGCTCTCAGTGCATACGGCTCCTACCGATTTCAGACGTTGGCCTGGGTGTGGCAAAGGTCAGACGGAAGAAGCGCAGAGTTGGTGTGAAAGCCGTGCGGACAGCGCCGGATGCTGCAACGGCTCCCGCACCGGAGCCTGCCGTAGAGCCTGAAGAAGCGCTGGATCTTGCTCAACCGAAGGTGGACAGGCCTTTCCCAGATGAAATGTTAAGTGCAATCCAAGTGTCCCGACTGGCGTATGCTTGACAGGAAGGGCGTGGTGCACCTGGCCTCCATACCGCTGTGCATGGGCATCCAGAAGCTACGCCACATGATGGAGCAGTTCGGTGACATTGGCCGCGTGTACCTTGCCCCTGAGGACTTCGCTTTCCTTGGTAGATAACGCCTGCATGATGTGGCGACTCCGTGATGTGATGACTCTATGAAGCCAATTTTTCTCGAATGCTGAGAGGAAAAGTTCCGGCTCCAGCCGCTCAACCTTTAGCTGGAAGACTCATCGGGCCAAGCCTGCAAACATATTGTGTTCCAGCTTCTGACTAAGTGTGGGTAGCTTTCTGCCACAAGGAACAGAAAGCGTGCTGGTGGCAGCCGCAAGCTCCGTTACACGGAAGGGTGGGTGGAGTTGCTAGACTCACTACTGGATTCGCATGTGATTTCCTCAGCCCGGTCAACTCTTGGCTTAGCGGCAAAGAAGTCGAAGGGCAAAAAGGGCATGTGCCCTGAGTGCCTTGAGGTTTGCAGACCGCCGAGTTGCCCGCCGTGTAGCTGACAGCCTCAATGCCACAACAATCGGTGGGTTGCTCTGCCTGCAAGGCTCTGCCTGCATCCTTGTACAAGCGCACACAGGGCTAGGGAGCTTCATCATGCCATGGTCGTGGATCCCAGGAAGAAGCGTCACAACTTCTTCCGAGACGACATGTGGAACATCCGCAACACGGCTGCAGCAGCTCCCATTGCCACATGATCTTCACGTGCGGCGGTTAAACTGTGGAAGAGGTTACCTACCTGGGTTCAAGTGGCACATGCTGAAGGAAGGCACCATCTACAATCAGATTCTTGGTTGCAACGGGAGCATCGGCTAGTAGCACCACACATAAACCCCTATGCTGTGATTGGCTTTCAACCAGCGAATGTCAATGTCGACCTCAACGTTTTTGGCCCAAGTGTGTGACAAGGCAGGTGCGAAAAGCGCGGCTGCAGCAACGCATGAGCCAGGCTTGGGGGAGTTTGAGGAAAGTGTTGAGCTTTTGCCAACTCTGGGCTTCGGGCGAGCCGGTGGCCTTACAGTAAGCAAGCGCGGGCTTCTGCAGGTTTTCTGTGGCTTCAAACGCTCGACCCACGAAGCAGACAACGTCAGAGCTTTATCCTGCCCCGCCTGAAAACTTGAGGTCCGAGTTCCATGCGTTGTCGAGCTGTGGCTTCAATTTGCACAGTTTTCCCTTGGTGCACCCCAGCCGTAGGCCACGTGGGAGGAAAGCAACACGGGAGGTGAGGAAGGGCTGCACATACTGCGCGCGGCGAGGTGAGCGATGAGCAATGGGCTTGAGGGAAGGAACCATGCCGATAGCACCACCAGCGTCGCAGGAACGAAACGCACTAATAGCAGCAAAGCAGGCAAGGTCAAGGGCTCTGGTGGCCCGGTTTAAAGCTGGGGGCATTGCGCGAGTGGAGTTGACACGCGCGTGCCGGTCAGAAAGCAGGAGCATACACAGCACAGCGCACCTGCTCCTGCTCATGTGGCACTTCAGAGTGTTGACCTGGGCACGGGGAGGCTCAGAGGGAGAACAGCCACTACCTGGAGAGTGTGGAGAAGGCTTGCCCCGTACGTGTTTGTCTGTGTGTGTGTGTGTGCCATAAAGTTCGAAATTCCTACTGCAGGCTCGGACTCGGGAGAAGGTGGCGGCTCGCCGCGCAGGCCGGAAAGGACAAAGAGGCGAAGGAGTCGAAGGAAACCGCGAGATGCAACTGTCGCCTCCACCGTCCTCATTGCCCTTCCCTCCCACTCGAAGCATTCGCAGCTCTCCGAGTACCTTGAACGACACATACAGCGTGCGCACGAAGCAAAGTTTGGCGCCCGTTCGTCAATACCGTGTTGATCTCGGAGGCCTGTCCTGCAGTTAAGGTGGACCTGGTGCCATCTCTGACAAAGTGCTCAGCAAGCTTTTGTAGCTCCCTGAGCTTGAAAACATGTGTCACCTCGCCGCGACCAAAAAAGATCGGCGGGACAAGCAGCACAAGATCGACATGCACTTACGACTTGTGATGCTGTTCCAATGTCTTTAATGGCTACACGACACAATCTCTTTGGGCCGTGTCGTGTCAGATGCCTCAAGCGCTGCCTGGGACAAAGCCGAGACTGCCGCTAACGGGGCAGTTGTCAAAGCTCGAAGCTCGGGAAGCTTGGCAGCAAGTGGAACAAGGTGAGGGTGAGTTCTCGGGCGAGAGGATGAGCTTCCATACGGGTATCGTCCAGCCAAGGAGAATCGATGACGATGCAGGAACGTGCAGCAGTCGGTGCCGTAGATCATGCCATCTCACCCCGTGACAAGGCGCAGACTGCAGTATTAATTACCAGTTTGCATTCAGTTTGACAGTCCTCTGATGCATCGCAGGTGGACATCCATGCAGCTGAAGTGGCCGCCATAGCGTCCACAGTGGCAAGTGGCAAGGAGGGGCGCAGCGCAATTTTGCGGGCCACAGACCAAGCATGTGGGTCGACGTAGTGGACTGCGAGCGTTCTGTCTTGCAGCATGCTGTGATTCACTGTGTTGCGAGTTGCAGCTTGGCTTGCTCAGGGGCGGCTGGCAGCAAAGGCTGAGCGAGCAGCAGAAGCCACTCCCTTTGAACAGGCAGAGGCCCAGTGACCAGCGAGGTACGGAGAGTTCAAAGCTAAGTTGAGCATCCGTGCTTGTGTCTGTCAGGCCGCAGCATGGGCAAGCTTAGAAGGAAACAGCCAAGGATCGAAGAGAGTCTTGAAGAGAGTGTGCGAATGCATCGCGGTATCGCGAGGTCGACCGAGTCGAATCCTGCGGCTTCGTGCACGGTTTCTGACAAAGTTGTGTGCAGCCAGGCCTGCCCGATCAGGCGGCTGCCGCCGGCACTGCCGCCGAGGGGGCAGCCCACAACGCGGGACTCTCGCCACAGGACGCGCCTGTTCCCACACTTGACAGCGTTGTCCACAATATGTGCGAATGCAAGGAGGTGAAGAAAGTGGGAGCGGCTGCCTCGTGCCCTGGCTGCCCTGGCTGTCCTGACTGTGGCAAACCGATCATCCATGTGCTGACTAGCTGGAGGAGCGTCGTCCTTGGGGGAGGCTTGCCACAGCCGTCTCAGAACATTAGATGCTCAGCTGCACAACTACCGCAAAAATTGAGTCGTCCAGGCTTGTCTTTGTCTTATTTCTGCTTTCATTCTTCGATTGAGGCTCGGGCATGCAGTCTGAAGAGGGTTTTCGGAAGCAGATGCCCGGTACTCGACCGCTGGTGTATCGTGAGCGACGTGATCGAGTGCGAAGAATGCAGATTGTCTCAGGTTCGCCCAGCTGGGCCGCGAAGGTCTCATTGAGCCGGAGGTGGTCACACAAGAGCCAGGCCCTAGTTAAAGCTATGGAGACACCAACCCGGGCTTACTTGGCTGTTGCAGGCCGCTGGCGCTGGATGGCTGCGTGCCTTTGCGTTCTGGCGGCCTTGTGCATCGCAGGGGTGGTGGCCTGGCAGCATTCGGCCTTCTTCAGTTTGGCAAAGTTGGCATGAACACTTCCCACGTTCACCCGCATTTGGCGAGGTGGTGGGCGTCATCAGCTACAAGCCTTCCAAGAAGCGCAGCGGACAGCTGAGAGTCTTTTGTGACAAGTCCAGGGCAAGCCTGGGGAGTGTGAGGGGCTTTGGCGATCATTGCAATCAGGGCATCGCAGGACGCCAACTTTGGCCACTTTGGCCATCAATGTAGGGAAGTGCAGAACTGTAGGTACGCGGGATGCAGCATTGGAGCCGAACCATTCGGAAAAGTCGGAAAGGGCATCTTTGATGAGACCAAGCTGCAAGTTTCATTGCCAGTTGACCTGTCATGAACTGGTGTCTCTGTGCTTGCCCGTGCTCTGACCTCTCTGCTTTGCGCAGAAGGTTCTTCCCTTTATTGCTGGCACCGAGGAAAGCCTCAACGAACCCATCCGAGCTCCTCAGACGCAGTGCACCAGGGTTGTTTGCCTGATGATGCTTCTGGTATGCAGCATATCTTTAAGCAAGACATGCAGCAGCCCGCTCCCGACATCTACTTGCCATACGCCCTCAGCGAAAGTGCCAAGGTGGCTGCCCAGCCCTCCGGCACCAACGCCGCAGATGCCACAGGGTCCAGAGTTGCCGCTCAGCTGCGGAATTTCGCGGAACGTGAGAGCCCTTTGCAGCTTCGAAGCCATGCGACCCCCAGATTCTTGCAAGAGCGCAGCGAGGCTTGCTTTCCCGGACTGGCAGAGCAGCTGGAGTCCTGGGCAAGAGAAAGAAGTCGTTTACCAGGCTCGCAACTGCAGTGCTTGCCATATATTACACATCCCACCAGAATAGTCAGAATATTCCAAGCAGGAGAGGAGTAGTAATGGAGCAAGACATTTGAAAACACTGTGCTTTGGCCGCTTTGGCCGGCCGCTTTGGCCGCTTTGGCCGCCTTGGCCTGACAGGGATGAGCGCAAGTTGTCGTACTAGTGGGCCGGGAGGTACGGAGCTCCCGTAGATTTTCGAGGATGTGCTGGCTTTGCAATGCGGAGGGAGCTGGAAATCGTAAAGCTGATGGTTTGGGGTTGTACAGGGGGGACCAAGTTTATGCTGAAAATCGGTATAGAGTATAGGACAGTTTCACCAAGCGCGCGTGTCAAATTCGCAAGAAAGCACAGAGGAAAGTGCACTCAAAGCAAAGTGGACCCAGGGGCCTGCGAAGGTGGGCCTCTGGGCTACTCGGGGACAAGTTCTGGAACGCCCAGGTGATTTTTTTGTAGCAGAAAGCCGGATGTTCATGAAACATGTCAGGTGCCCCCTGGAGCCAAGCCCGGGTCAACTCTGCTCGTCGATGTGGGTGGTGGCTTCGCAGTTCCCACCCTGGCACCCTTGGCGCAGTAGTGGTCCATGGTGGAAGTTCTGCTCATGGACATTGAAGTGCCACATGTTGGAACACATGCTTCTCCCAGATGTTTAGCCATATTTAGCCACTGAGGTCCCCGAGTCTGCATATGCTGGTATGACTTTGAGCTTGCGGCGGTAGAGCAGGTCTTGAAGGTTGAGGCGTGACCTTGCCCACTACGGAAGAACGGCTGAACATCCCACGTTCCTGCTACAAAGAGCCCCGTCCTTCGATCGGAAGCTACCTGAGACTGAGCGATCAGTCGGATAATGAAGCCTGAGTGCGTAAACAACCTTCCCAACACAGAAGAATGTCGTTGGAGCTTTTTGGTGCTCATCTTGCATGGGATAGGAAGGAAAGAGCCTCAACAGGATCGTGTTGGGAAGACGGTTTGAGCACCAGATCCCAAGTTTTGCCGCTGAAGTCAGATCGGTATCGGTATTCTCTTGGCATCTAATCCTCTGGTTAGACTGAGGTTAGTGCACAAGGCAACACAAGCGGTCGCAGAATTTGGACGATAAGCCCGATGGGCTAACATGCCATCGGTGTTCATCCAATGCTTAGCTATCTCAGAAGGAGATGGAGCGAACCGTGGTCAAAGCCGCCCGGTGTTTCACCCCGAGTGTTGTAAGCCCGCCTATAGCCTATCAACCTAGCATAGACCTATAGCCGAAAGCCTCCTTGCTGAGCTGCACTGCAAGCGCGTCGTGCCCCATGTTGTCGTCTGTTGTCTTCGAGCCTGTTTGCGTCTGGAGGTTTTCCCTTTGCGGCTCGGCCAGATATGTTTTCAACATGTGCTGCCAGTTGGACCTAGCACCAAGATGCACCTTGTGCACAGACACGTTTCGGATTCTGTTCTGTGGCATTCCCGAACGGGCCAATCGCGGCATGGCGAAGAAGGCGCTTGTGCCGCTTCTGGTTGCCTCAGCGTGGGCGGAGATCCAAGACTGCCTGGTCTCAGGTGCCTTGCTTGCAGGTCCCAGAGCCCCAAAACGTAAATTCTGAGATGCCAGTGCACGAGAGCCCCCTGTAGATTCCAGGCAAGAGACGAAAGGTAAAGAGGGGTCCTTTCAGGGCTTGCCGAGATGTCAATCCAAAATTCGAGGCTGGGGCTACACGGACTCCTGGCATAAGGAGCTCAATGGTGGCTACGTGCACAATGCTGAAACTTGCCAGGCGAGCGAAGACGTTGCAAGACGTCTGTTTCTCTGACGATGTGCATGCCTGTGCCACTGCTCGGTCGAGCACTTGAGAAGCCTCGTCAGGAGACCTGCAAAGGAATGTGGTTCTGTGACGTCGCCGTCCCAGCTACATGTTGCCGTGTTGCTGCTTCTTGTTTGTCCGCGATCGATTGGCTCTTGGCTCTCAGGTTTTCACGTATCACACGGACACAAAGAAGTGCTTCCTCCAAGGCCTTCTGGCCATTTCCGGCCTGTCTCAGCTGCATGGATCTCTTGGTGCCCTGACCCGAATTGATCCAGGAAACCAAGCAGTGGAGTCAGTCATGCCGAATGTCATCAGCGGCCCAAAGACGTGTGCTTCCCAGCACAGGGCAGGGCATAGGGTAGCGCACTGGAGCGCGGGGGAGCATGGTATGATAGTTGTAAAAAGTATGCTGGGTGTGCGATGCTGTTGACCTCGGTTCCTTTCGGGCTCTGGGGCTCCACTTGAGGTGTGCCGCCACTTCGCTGTCAGAGGCCTTGCGCATGGTGCAGGCGTCCGGAGTCAATGCTGCCAGCTTCGCCCTCAAGAAGGGGTGCCTTGGGGTGCCTTCCTGGAAAGCTGCTCGCATCAGTTTGTCTCAAGGTCAAGCCCAGGCTGAGGGGAAGGACTACGCCCAGATAACCAATCACTCTCTCGTCACCGTGCTGAAAAACGGCGTGGCTCTGCCAGCACGGAGAATGGTAACCGGCAAGATTAGGCTCGTCGAGTCTACACTGCACTCGAGGCAGACGAGCCCAGCGTGTGAGTGTCTTGCATAGCTGTAGCTCCCGCACTACAGGTTGACATAATCCGAGCACCTGTTTAATTGGGGGGGGGGGGCCGCCCCCCCCCACCCTCCCCCCCCCCCCCCCACCCTCTCCCCCCCCCCCCTAAGAAAAGGCAGGGCGCCGCAAGAATGAGACCATGGCAATGTATTGATTCTCTATTCATCCTATAGGAATGTATTGAATGTCTATTAAAACTGAATAGCAAAGTATTGATTGTCAATTAAAAACAATAAGAAGGTAGTCAATCTCTATTTAAATTGAACAGCAAGACCAGGGCTCCCCCCCCTCAGGGCCTCCCATAATTGTGGCCCCTTTTATAAATTTTATAAATGTGATGCTGTCTTTGCCGGGCAGAGCCCATAAGGGGTAGCTCAGGAAAGAATCAAAACTTCTCTCCTCCAGCAAGCACTCACATAAGAAATCCTAGCTTTCTGAAGGGCCTCAGATTCTACAAAAAAAGCTTCGGCTTCTTTAAAGCTTTGCTTTTAAGCCAAACAGGAGCCCGGCGAGAGTTTTTTGAACCACCCCGAAAAACTTCTTTAAATGTGGTGGTATTGGCCCATACGAAAACCCCGTAATGGAAAGTAGTCTTCCGGCGGGCTCCTCGACGATTTTTTGTTTAAATGTGGGTTAATTAATTAAACAGGTGCTCGGATTAGCGCAGATGCCTGGCGAAGGGATGCCTAGTACCAAAGCTGATACCCCTACAACTTATGTGTACGTCCGCTTTTGATCCCTTGAATGTTGCCACTGGCTCATGTTCCATACTCGGAGCCCTGCGCGCTACAGCGTCCCAGTTCTATTGTTGTTGCATTGCCTTGTCGTCACTAACATACGTCACTTGCTGCGGATGATCGGCCTCCTCCCGTGGTGTCCGTCTGTTGTGTAATGATGCTGCAAGTCGTCGTGTTGGGTTTCGCCTAGCACCAGCTGAAGGATTGAGAACTTGACCCCAGAGGAGAAAGAATATGTACGGGTGTGTGCACCAAATGATGCTAGTTCTGATTCTGTGGTGAGGTAAGCTTGGGCTTGTCGAACGTGCAGAAGGCTGGGGCTGCGGCCGAAAGGGTCCTCAAGAGGGTCTGCTAAGACCTCTGAGCTCTCCATTCGTGCGCTTCCTGTTCACCAAGGCGCAGGTTGCTGCTGAGGTGATCGGCCAAGTGTCAGCAAGAAGAACCACCATCGATGGCAATAGTGCCTTCCTTAAGAGCCCCGTTGCAGGATGCTGTCAAGGAACGATGGGAGTGCATGGAAAGCTACTGAGAGCTATCGCTTTTGAGGTGTCCTGCCGCAAATCTTGAAGGGTGCAAAAGCTGCTGCTGATTGGGCCGGCAACTATTCCAAGAAGGTGCAGGCACAGCAGGCACCGCGGGGAAAGGAAGAGCATGAAATGAGAAGCCATGTAGGGAAGTGTAGAATTCCGAACGGTGCCCAGTTGTCAGTTTCCATAAAGGCCATGTATGCCGCTGGTGCGCTTGCTGGAGACTTCTCCACGGCTCGTGAGGAGACGGCTGCTTGCCTGCAAGAGATTGCAAGAGGCAAGAGTCGGCAAGAGAACAACTCGATGTCCTTTCCTGCTTCCTACCCTGGGAATCCAAGGAAGCCAAGAAGCGTTCAAAGAGTCGTTCAGAGTTCAGCAGCCGAGGTCCAGGATCGTGCAGACTATGCGGTGCGAATGGCCCTGGATGCTGCGGACACGGTTCCCGGTGCTGGTGGTCTTACAACCTATGAGCCCGCTCGGCGAGCATTTAAAAGATTGAAGCAGATGTCTTCTTTAGGTGCAAGCCTGTGAGGGCCTCAGTTGCTCCGGTGCCAGGCAGCTCGTGATCGCAGCCCAAGAAGCGGCTCTGGTTACGGCAAGAGCCGGAGGGACCAAGAAGGATGCTCGGCAAAGTGCATGTTGAAGCGGGAGGAAGAGCCCAAGTTGTTGTGGCCTGTGGTTGCTCATGACACTTGAGGAAGTGTACACCGCTGTGGCCACGGCGATGCACAAAGTAGCAGCGCTATACGGCAAGCCTGCCGATATTCAGGCTGGTCCCCCACTTGGGCCCATGGATGCAGGGGTTTTCTATTTGTGATTTGGAGGCAGAATGGTCTGCCATTGGTGAGGCGGCTGTGGCTTGGTGAAGCGAATTACGGTGGTCTGGATGTGCTTGCCAGTAGTCGCTACTACAGAGTAGCCATCAAAGCATTGTGCCAGGCAAACCTCAGCAACCATGCTTTTCGTTTCCAATGATGTGACGTCGCGCAATTTTGGCTCAAGGGGTGCTGAGGGAAACCTCAATAGCACAGAGGTCAGAAGTCTGAGTGACTTTACTCAGCTTGGGCCTTAGTCGTGTTTGGGCTGGTCTTGAGCTTCAGCAGCACAAGCTGAGTGACCCTGAGACTGCAGGGAGTCTTCTGGCAGGTATGATGAAAAACGAGGCGGGGCAGGACGACCATTGCCTTACCCATCAAGTTACCCATCAAGGCTCCAGTTCCTGATGACAGGCTCACACGGCAGATGCCGAGGATTACACAGAGAGCGACGATGAAGGCGCTGATGGGTATCGCAGCGCAGGCTGCAATAGCTATTGCAGCTACCTGTAAGCTCAAGCTGCACGTCGATGCCGTCGATGCTGTCGAAGTCCAGTGAGTCTAGTGCTAAGGTAAGGGCGGATACCACCCGGTGCACATCGGCGAGATTTACAACGGTCGGTACCACGTCCTCGCGAAACTTGGGTGGGGACACTTCTCCACTGTGTGGCTCTGCCAGGACAGGAAGAACACGGGCACTGCATTCTCCTTTGTGGGAACGAGCCCTTGCCTGTGCAAGGACCTCACACAGCAACGCTATGTGGCAATGAAGGCGGGTTGTCAGATGGACGTTGTGCAACGTGCACAGCACCTGACAAAGTGACGGAATGGCAGGTGCAAAAGAGTGCGCCGCATTACACAGAGGCGGCTTATGATGAGATTGAGCTTTTGGCCGAGGCTGGGCAGATTGAACGAGGTGCAGTAAGCCGCAGACTCTTTTTCATTCCTGTCGCAGGCCGCCAAGCGATGCAAAGATGAAGCTTGGGAGGACAGCACGACGTGGGCCTATGAAATCCTATGAACACAGTGCGCTCAAAGCGTGTACTTGAAGTCAAAACTTTAAGTCCCCTCTCCTGAATGAGTCCGTGTTATAACAAACGGAGGAGACACAGAAAGGCCCCAGCCGCGCCCTTTTTCCTGAGCTCCCCTTCACGGGCGTGGTGCAGCTCATAGAGCCTTGGCAGCCTTGTCTCTACAGATTCTTGCAAAACGCTGTTGGAGAGCACAGGCTTGATGTGCTTGATGTGCTTGTCTCGACCTCTTTAGAGTGGCTTCAGGATTACTTCGAGCACTTCGGGGTCAACGGCAAACACGCCGCACGACGCAAATTCGCCGTGAGACTGTGAAGGTATGGAGAAGCACTGAGAAGCACTTTGCCCGTGTTCTGAGGTTTGCATGGTGTTTGAGACAATGGGGCCCAATGTGCTCGCTCTCATCAAGAGGCTTTGGGCCTTCTCGTGGTTGGCCACGTAGATTCGTAGATACATGATGTTGCAGGTACAACTTCAAGGGCATCCCCTTGGATATTGTGCGCAAGGTCACGACTCACACGCTCATTGGCCTCGACTACTTGCTCCCAGCTTACTCCCACCTTGTGCGGTCATGCTTTTTTCCACCTTCAAAATGCGTCCGTGGCCTAGGCACAGAGTGTGTGGCATCATCCACACTGACTTGAAGCCAGAGAATGTGCTGGTTGGGTGCCCTCGCGGGGTGCCTGTGAACAAGCAGGGCATCCCCCTGGTGGGCAATGTGGACCCCGTAATGGCTGCAGCCAAGCGGGATGGAAGAGTCCAGAAGGAAGAGAAAAAGCCAAGTGGGAAGAAGAAGGACAAAGACAAGAAGTATGATGATGAAGAAGGTTCGTGCAGAAGAGCAACATCAATACGAGCATCAACATGTGCTTCTCACACGGGATTTCACCATTTGCTTGTGCAGGTCACGGTGACGATGAGGCTGAAGCGATCCCACGCCCGCCGCCTGTCTTAGTGCCTTGGTAAGATCCTTGAAGCTGCGGACCCTACGATGTTCATTGCCTGCTTGCGTCAGGTGCCTGAGGCCATGCAGGCAGCGCCGAACCCTTCCAGCCTCAACGAGCCACCGTACATGAAGCCCTTCCTGAAGCCTTCACGATCCGATCCGACGCTGCTCTCCTCCTATGGTGATGACATGGTGGCCATGAGCCGGCCCCTGTACAACCACATGAAGCCACCGGGAGTTCCTCAAATGCCAGTCTCTCCAATGATGCCGCCGCCACCTTCGCAGGCGGCTGCTGCGCACGCGGCAGCAGCCGCTGCAGCGGGCCAACCTTCATCGAAGATCGATAGCGCCTCGGCTTATCTGCTGCAGCACTGGGCCTGGGGGTGTTAGACTGCAAGGGGGCAGGGGGCGTATGCGGGGTTTTGCTACTGAACACCTAGCTTTCAGTGCAATCTCCAGACGTCGGCAGGCATCGATGAGAAGTTGATTGACGAAGTTTTGGGTTTGGATCTTTTTGATCACGTCGGCGTCACGTACAAAGTGGCTGACTTGGGAAATGCCTGCTGGGTGGAAAGGCACTTTTCGGATGACATCCAGACTCGGCAATACCGTTCACCTGAGACCATCATCAATGCAGGCTATGACACCTCCGCAGACATCTGGTCTTTGGCTTGCATGGTTTTCGAGCTTGCTACCGGTGACTACCTCTTTGACCCCAAGGCTTCTGACGAATACCCACGCGATGAGGACCACTTGGCCCTCTTCATCGAGCTTTTGGGCCCGATGCCAAAGGACCTGATTAGCAGGGGCCGGCGCTCCAACACCTACTTCAACCGGCGGGGCGAGCTCCGGCACATCAAGTCCCTGCGCTACTGGCCCTTGGCCGAGGTGCTCTTACAGAAGTACCACATGCACGAGGTCGAGGCACGTAATTTGGCATCTTTCCTTTTGCCAATGTCAGGGGCTCAGCTTTTTCAACAGCCTGCCTGACACGTCTGAGCTCGCATATCTTCACACGTTGTCCGCGCTCGCGTCCCAATTCGCATATCCCCGAGGCTCCACCTTTTGCCTGAAGACAGGACTACTTCGGCCCGAGTCATGTCGTCATGTTGTCTGACAAACTGTTTGTCCACGACTTCTGGGCCAGGATTTCAGCAAAGGCTGCACTGGAGCATCCTTGGCCTGGCCTTCAGAGGGCCTTCAAGCATAATTTCCTCGGCATAGCACAAAAACACCATCCGAGCCTCGAACTTTGTTGCAAGGCTACGTGGAGAGCCCAGTGAAGATGTTATTGATATGGTGAACCGCAATGCGTTGAACGCGTCCAGCCTGCAAATTACTTACTTTCTCCATGTTTGATTGTGACGAAAGACGGATTAACATGTGCAGAGTGCGATGAACTGTGGCATTTGTGCCTCCGCATCTGCTGACTGAGATGCCACGCGTTGCATTGCCTCCACCGTTCGGAGCAAGAGACGGTCGAGGTGGCATGGGGATGGTGTATGCAGATGAGGCCGGTGCCCCAGCTGTCTCGCGTCATCGATGATGCTCTCTCAGCCACGTGACAATTGAAGGAGGAGGTCGCGCAACATTGACGTGGACAGGTTGGCCCACACTTTGGTTTTTTGCACACACAAGCTCCTAAGAGTTCTGTGCAGTGATGTGGCGCAGGAAAAAACACATTTGCGGCTGCAGTGCTATGACTCGTTCGCTGCTGCGGCTGCCCGAGAGGCCCACTGTCGGCTTCAGCTGACTGACGAAGCCGTAGCTGTTGTTTGTTAACAGAGAGCTTTCAGTACGCGGCAACGGGCCAGGTCGTTCCGCATGCCCCACGTGAGGCTTTGATTAGCGGGCTTTGTCAAGACTGATCGAATTGAACTGTACATTCCTGCGTCGCGACATGCCAAAAAGCGGGGCCCTGCGAGAGCTGACGTGACCTTTTTACAATTAAGTAGATCAATTAATGCATGTTAACATCACAACATCCTGCTCAGAGAAGCCAGACGCTGCCCCGCATGCTGCTGCAGTCTGCCTCGGAACCTATTGCCAAGGCAATCGACTGGTACGATCAATCCTTCACGAAAGAGGTCGTGGATGCGAAGCTGGAGTTTAAGGCAGTGGAAAGGGCTGTTGTAGACACCATTAGACTCCACAACGTGCCAAAAGAGAGCTGGGGGAGAGAGCAGTAAGACAATCGCCATCCCTAGCGAAAGGCCTGAAAGAAGCAACGCGACTCAATTCTCTTGAGCATGAACGCAGCGGACTGCACGGAAAGAATCACGGCAACCAAGCCCAGAAGTCTGGTTGGCAGACGCCTCGTAGATAGTGATGCGAACCGTGGGCGGGAAATGCTAAGGATGCTGCTGGGGGCAGGCCTCAGAAAGGATCATCCAACCCAAACAACAATCAAGCCAAAAGCATTGTCTAAAGCACAGCCAGGGTCGAAGTGAAGCAAAGTGAAGCCGTCAAGCAATATTCATCTAAACAATTCCTTCCGATCGACACCCTTGATAAGTTGCGCAGTCTGCCGTGTCAATTTGGTCCTTAGCGTGTTAATTGCACCGCGCTTTCCACATAATGGTCAGTCCAACGTCATGCTGTACCTCCCAGTCGCATGATCGTCGGTCATGCTTGGAAAGCCAGGAGATACTCGGCGCGGCCATGGATGCTGCCAAGACGTCGCAGGAAGGTGGTGGTAGCTGTGGCCCAAGTCAAGAGTGGCTGCATGTAGCATGAACGCAAGCATGCATTAACCCGTGAGGTCTAGAAGATGCGATTCTGGCAGCAGCACAAGCAGCACAGCAGTCGTCCAGCCCTCAGTGCTGAGGAGTTATGAGGAGTTGAGGAGTGTTGAGATGAAAGTGACATGTGACCACGTACGGCTTGTCGTTGCTGCGGTTGCTGCGTTGCTTCTTCAGTGCGCCGCAGGGCTGCAGAGAAGGGCTTTGATCCTCGGGAGCAGGTCGGTCGACAGCTTTTGGACTCACAGACTAGCACGGACTTTTCGTGTCCTTCTTGGGCGTTTTGTGCTGTTTGCGAAAGGCGAGACAGCTGGCGCCTCAGAATGCCCCAGATGATGTGGCGATAGGTCTTCTCGCTACTTGTGAGTCTCCAGCAGAGCCGTAGAGCAGCGAGTCGCGTCGAGAAATCAGCCGTGTCTTGAGCTCAGGGCAAGCATTGCGGGAGCAGAAGTGGCACGGCAGCTCGACGGAGACCTTCAGGGGCGTGCCGAGGCTGCCAAGAAAGCCGCGGAGAAGGCCTGGCCCAAAGACATGGCACATAATCGCGCAGCCATGCTCCTTCCGCAGTCGGCGCAAGGTGGCTCTGGACCTGGGCTTCACTCAGCCGACAGCGGACCAGGAGGGAGGTCGGGCCAAGCGCCTGGTGCTGGAGGATGGACAGGCCTTGCCTCTGGTTGGAACATAGTGCCTGTGTACAGCCTGTGTAGATTGTACAAGTTGGTGGGGTTGTGACATTGTGGGTGTTGTTGAAGGTCGGCGGCAACGCTGAAGAGCTTGGGGCAGAGCTGGGTCCTTCAGCGAGCCTGGCAGCGAACACCAATCAACTGGGAGAGAACTTGGGGAACGGCGCGGGCTCCGCTGGCAGCCTGAGAGCTGCAGCGCCGGCTACGGGCGCCGGTGCCGTTGGAGAGGGTGCCGGTGCGGCTGCTGGTGAGGGTGGCAGTGTGGGTGCTGAGGGGCTGGTTGCAGGCGCGGGGGCGGGGGACGGAGGGATTGGGATGGGCAGGGCTGGTACAGCACTGGGCTCAGCAGACAGCTTGGATGGAGAAGGAGATTTGGCAGCAGGCGCGGCGGGAGCAGAAGTGGGTGGAGCCACATCTGAATCGAAATCTGGTTCAAACTGGACAGACAACCTTCTGGCTTTGGCCCCGGAATTTCAGCCAACTCCCCGCCTACAAACCCGAGTCAGCATTCTGCGCCAAGGTTAGCGTTATGTATGCCCTGGCCGGTGTTCTTGGAGTTGCCGCTTGTTTCGTGTGTCTCCGCTCCATGCTGAAGGGCAGGCTGGTCGTTCATGCTGGTCGTTCATGCGATTCATGCGATTCATGCGATCAAGACTCGGCAGTCTTCCCATGCGCCGAGAGAGAGTGCAAAGTCCTTTTGTCCTTTTGTGCAGTGTTGACTTTGTCACTGTCGATATCGATGAGCGCCTGTCTGTGCCGTGCAAGGCATACGAAAAAGACAAAGCGAAAAGTGACTCTGGAAGCAGAGGCCACGCCCCCAAGTCCTGAAGCTTTTTTGTTTTGAAGCCTTGGGCAGGCAGAAGACGAGGAGCAGCGACCGCTCATGGCCAGCGAGGCTGCGCCAGACAAGGCGGACATGAGATATGCTTGTGGACGGCTTGTGGAATCTGCGATATTGAATGGATGTTGTTCGACAGTTCGACCCTGGTTCGGGTGCAGGATTCCGTGGCAGCGGCAGCTTACAAGACGGGTTCGGCCATGCCTCGCATCGAAGTCAATGGCGGCACAGGGGCGATGGCGCCTATGGCGGCCATGGCGCCTATGAGCATGCCAGGGGGCATTAACTCTGCTGGCTATGGTGGGTACGTGCAGTACGGTGGTACTTTGGCTCCCCCTACTCCGTGTGCCACAATGGGTGCAATTCCCGGTACCACCTATGCCGGCTTAGCTGGGGCACCCTTTGCATCAGCCCCAACCTTGGCCCAGCGCACGGGCAGCATGGCAGTACCTGCGGCTCCCATCTCCACAGTCTCCACATCGGCGCTTCCGGCCGTTCCCATTTCCACTGCCAATGGTTTGCCTGCACAGGAGGCCAGGTCACCACGTGCGCATAGCAGAAGGATCTATCGAGGAACGGATTCTCAGAACCTGCTGGTTTTTCCCTGCCACATGTCCAGGTGAGGACCACAAGCTGCGAACTTAGCGGCTTAGCAATCTGCAACAAGTATGACATTCATGAACCATGTTGGCGCGATTTAGGTTGACACTGCGTGCCATGATTGGCTCGAAAACCGGTTTCATGTGAACAAAGGTCTGAGTGGTGCAGCTTCTGCTTCACCAGTGCTCACCCACGCACCTCTCCAGCTGATGGCAGGCACATCGTTGCATTGCAGAAAGTTGTTTCTTTGTTTGCAGCAACTGCTGGCATCGTGGATGGAATTCCTGAGGACAGCAGCTTGGCTCGGGGCAGATCCCAGCCTATGCAAGCCTCTATTCTGCTGGCCATGAAGTGAAGCAAATCTCTTACACCGACGCTTGACGATCATTCTTTGAGTGCCTTCAGAGGATATCGTGCTCGTGATGAATGCTCAGGCTGTTGCTTGGGGATCACTCGCTGTGTCATCTCCAACCTTTAAGTCAAGTCATGAACGCTCTTGTCATGCCCCGGCTGCGCCAAGATCCAGCAGCATCACAACATCCGCCGACTCATCCGCATAGCGCGGGTTCAAACAGAAAATCAGCGCCCCGAGTCCCAACGCCGAAGAGTCCCAGAGTCCAAGAGTCCAAGAGTCCAAGAGTCCAAGGAGTGGCATAACGCCTGGCAGCCTGGCCTGCCGCGTGATGTCGTCTGTACCTGAGACTGTCTGGACTGTCTTATTTCTAGACCATCCTTAGACCTGGACCATACCCAGACCATGGAGCAGCACTGTGCGCAACGTCACTACGCGGCGAGGTCTTCACCATCCCGGATGGTGCTGTGGAGGGTGCGGCTCTCGTTGTCGAGGCTCTGGACGTGGCATTGTTGCAGACGTTGCTGTCACTCTCTGTCGCTCTCTGTCACTATCTGTCATTGCTTTCTGAAGAGGCGCTGTGCGTCCCCAGAGCACCATTGCAGGTCGAGCCTGGGGTTGTGGTCCCGACGACGGTCCCGACAGGTTCCCCCCCAGAACAGCTGCGGAACCGCTGCGCAACACTTGAGCATCTCATTGAGTTTCACTTCGCTTCAGCGCCTCGGTTTCATGGCCCCTGGCCCCTGCAGGTGCCTATGCCGGTGCTCTGGCGTGTCTCCAGCGCTAGGCCGCTAGACCGCTGGGGGTGGGGGGGTCTCTGACTGGCACCAGGACCCTAGAAAGTGAAAGTTCCCACGAGCTCCTGCATTTCTGGAAGTTCCGCTTGAATCCTGAGAAAGTGAGTGAGTGAGTGAGTGAGTGAGTGAGTGTGGATTGAGGGACGGGCGGCGACGTGGCTTAGCAGCTGGGAAGGTGAATGCTGCAGCAACGGCCAGGAAGTGCTTAAAGTTGAATTCTTGGGCCTTTCTAATTGTCGATGCCAGCTTCATCATAGATTAGCAATATCAGTGCCCTCGAATTCGTGTAGGAGCCAAAAGGCGAGACCTTGCTGCCAATGAGAATCCTGGTTGATAGAGCATAGCAGTGTAGCTGTTTCAGACACCGCGGTCCATCAAAGAAAGAACATTGGCACGAAGGCAAAGATCCGGGCAGAGCAGTCTCCAAAGTGCGACTGCTTGCTGGAAGACTCCGATCGTGGGTGACCAAACCTCTTCGCCCAAGAACTGAAACACGAACTCTTTCCTTCGTCTGCAAAAAAGTTGCAGATAACGTCGCGCTTCCGCAACAGCCCAGTTTTGTAGGGGAAATGCAACCACTGCCGAGCATGCTGTTCGTAAACCCCAAGCCTCAACCTTCCAAATCTGCGGAGGCTCTTATGTCAGTTGACATCATGACTGGAATTTGTCAGTTCACGCAAGAGGCGCAACACAAAACAACCGCTGCCAGCTGTCCTTGCCTCGACGGTGGCACAGTCATTGCTTGTCCCGTGGAGACAGCTTCCTGCTGCACCCCTTTGTCTCTTGGCTTCAGCACATTCGGCAAATTTCGCTGACATTGCGACAGCTCGATTGTAGAAGCACACCAACCGCTACATGGCGCCAGACTGGTTTGAGCAGCTCTTTGGGTTTGTGGAGGCCTGGAAGTCATTCTCTCAATTTGCCCTTGAACCCTCGCCGTCGCAGGTGGACTATGACAGCACGAAGCAGCAGCTGAGAGTGCATCCCTCAGAGCATTCAGATGGGCTGTTACTCGACAGCCTGGTGAACAAGGCCAGCTATTGTGTGGGAACCTTCGGAACTCCCAGCTCCTGAGCTCATGGCAGAGCATGGCAGATCCACTTCAGGGCAGGGGGGTTCATTTTGTGGAATCCGTGTTCTTTCTAAGCAGGCTCTATGCGTGCCCAGAAGAGCTGAGCTTCGAAGCTCAGAAGCTCAGGCCTTGGCGAACTTCGAGAGGAGTTCCTCAGCCTGAGAGGAGAAGAAGGAGGGCAAGGGCGGCACCGACGGCTGTGCGTTCGGAACGAACCCTGGCGTACTTGTTTCGTAAGCTTCCCTAGCTTTCTCGGATGGGAGGCCAGCAGGGGCAACAGGGATGCCCGCAAGACTCTCACTACACTCGCTGCGCTAGCGTTTGGCCACGTACTTTGCTCACGGCAGTGCCTCCCTTACTGGGTGCCTTTGTCATCCTATGCGATCCCGACTGGTCGTGAGCAACGGTGGTTTTTTTCCCTCAACCTGTTGTAGGCGACATAGTGTAGACTTGCACGCTTGTCTCGCATGCCCGCGTCATTCAAGTCCTTTTGAAGCCAAGGAGATCGGGGACGTGGCAGCCAAACATGCGCTTGCTGAGAACAGGCATGCTACATTTCAGGTGGCCTCCCAGTTCAACTGCTTGGAGTTTGTGGGCCCATCTGTGACCCCACAGCATGGAATCACGGGCTACGTGCGGGACCGCACGCAAGGACCAGCCTGTTCAATTGCATGTGGGCCCGCCACGGCATATCGGAACTTCTTCGCTCCCGTTCGCGGAGGTCCGGGTGGGGAATGCGAGGATGAAACAGGTCAGGCGAAGAGGCAGATCAACAACCTGGAGGATCTCTGCGTGGAGTTGGACAGAAAATCGGCGAAACGGCGAAAGGGGAAAGATGAAGTTCTGTTTCGTTCCTTTGGCAGTCAATTTCTAGAAGTTCGTGGCGGGTATACGCTCGCTTCGCACAGGCAGCTTGCAAATCTAAATGCTATGCTGCAAAGCTTGAGCGAAGGGGAACTAGATGAGCTTCGCCAGAGTTTGCGCGTGGGCGTCCACGCAGACGTGCAGGTCACCTCTTTCGCCTGGGGGGCTCGACCAGTGAAGGATGCGACGCAGTTGGTGACACAGATCTTTGGATCGGCTTGTTCAGTTGCTTACAATAGAGATGCTCGGATCAACTCGCAGCTGCTTTGGAGCTGGTCGTCCGTAGCTCTCCCTATAAGTACTGCTTTTAAAGTATGGCCGAGGAGAGCTCGCAGCCGGACTGGGAACCCCTGGCGCGCTTGGTCCTGGAGGCCTCCTACGAGGCAACGCTCCTGGCAGCGCTTCGGCAGGCCCGGAAGCACGGTGGGCTCGGTGGCTCACGTCGGGTGTTGCTTGGCCGGACATTCGCTGGCTTGGTCCTGCATTTTCTTGACAGATCCTGAGAGATCCTTGCAAAAATAAGGTTCCTGACGTGCCTCGGAGGTGGCGTGTTTGGGAATGCCATGACATGGATCGCTGATGCGATGCGCCGCGCCTTCGTATGCCTCCAGAATGAAGACTTGGATGTCCGCATTGTAACATATGCCGGCTCGCCGCCCCCAGAGCTGATGCGATTGGAGCGCGACTTTTCCGGCACAGGGTAGCGGCTCGGAGTTCCAGCTTGCGGCGATGCATGGTGATGCATGGCGATGCATGGCGATGCATGGCGATGTGGTAGCACGGAGAGGTGGCAACCGGACGACCTGTAGTCAGGCCTGGGAAGACGAACTACAAAGTGTGGTGGCGCAGTGTCAACACAAATTTAAGAAAGCGAGCAGCCGCGTGGGCGCCCAAGAAGACGACACTTGGGTGACGGTGCGATCACTTTGACAACGTTGAGCGGACTCACTGCAGTCTCACAATATCTCGCAATGAAAAGATGCAAGTGTCTGACTGCTGCTGCTGGACGAAGTCGCCTTGGGTAGTAATTGTTCTTGCTGTTGGTCGTTTATGCTTTCATGTCATTGTAGCTGTTCTTTTTTTGTACCTGTTGTGCGTCTGCTTGCGCTTGGCCCATCTTGGGCCATGCTCCCGCATCAAGTCGTCGGCCCGGCTCCCCCCCACCCCAGGACCGAGCTAGATGCTAGAGTCTGCTAGAGGACTCGGATCCGCTTGTCCGCAGCTTGAAGAAACTTCAGGCGTTCCATCCAACATCTCAGCGTCACAGAAAAATTCTACGGGAAAGGCATTCTTGACATTTCTTGATCATTCTTGCACGTCCCACAACTTTGCAACATTTGGTATAGCAGCACAAGCATTCCCAGCCCTAATCATCTGCCCTCGGTGGCGTCCACGTTGCCCAATGCGTCGTCGCCACGCGAAATCCCACGCTCTGCCAACTGCTGCTTCGTTGACTTGGTTGGCGCTGGCATCCTTGGCCGCTCTGACTGGGGGCTTCTCGAAAGCTGATCAGGGCCTGAATCAGAATGCGCAGAAGAATGCGTGCCATGCTGTTAGAGCCGCTTTTGGAATCCTGGGATGGAGATCTCTGATGGGTTTTGAGGCTTTGCGTGGGCCGGATCCAGGCGTGGCCTTGGACTTCGGGAGACTGGAAAGCACTCCCGGCGCTCCGGAGAAGCCGAGGCACACTTCGCACGATTTTTGTGTTCAACGCGCTGCGCTTTCTTTGCGATGTTTTTGGGGTGCCCAGGAGTCAGATGTTGCAGCTGGCGGCCCAGCGAACAGCAGCTTCCCACGCAAAATGCGACCTAAACAACGCTGCAATGCCTCGCACATAGAATCTTTCCAAGTGGCCGCTTGTGTAAACTGAGGCACCTATGCTGACAGACCCAAATGGCGGAAGCGATACCGCCGCGTGCTGCCGTTCGATGAGGCTGCGTTGGGCAAGCATGGCGTGCCCTGAATGCCTGCGCGAACGATGCTCGCGTGGAGGCGCGGCGTTGCGTCCAAGCCATCGGCTTTGACAATCGACGCTTGGCTTTACCGGCCGCGGCCAGGACCATGCATTGCAGTTCTGCGGAGTTCAACTGCGATGCTCCTAACTTTTCTTTCGCAAAGTTCGACAGGTGAGGAGTGGGATGAGTGGGTCGCCGAAGGCAAGAAGTCGCCCTTCCTAGGGCCATACGTGCCAAGCGACCCAGAGGCCACTTTCACGCATCTTCAGGCAGAAACGCAGAGGATCATTTTTGGAGTTCCGGCAGAAGGAGCTCCCTCCTGAGGCCATGTATGCCGAAGAGTGGCAGGGCTGGGAAGACTTCCTGGGATGCATCCTCTCCTTCCAGGAGGCTCTGCTCAAGACAAAGCTTAAACCAACCTGACACCCCCGAAATCGATCTTCTAAACCCAACACGGTGGTGGGGGGCAAGATGATCCCAACGTACGGGGGATGCTTGGTCTTCCGCGGCCTGGTCAGGCACGTCTGATTTCCAGGATGCTGGGCCTCCGGAGCCAGGAAGACTGGTATGCCTTCGTTGAGGATGATCCGGTCAGTGCTTCTGTCACAGTCATGGGAGAGTCGTTTTTGTGGTATCTGAAGCTCCTTGGTGCTGTAGCATCACCACGCTGGCAAATCCAAGGGCTGAGGAGCTTGCGTCTGCCGGCTCTGCCATCCATCTACTACAAATCGGAATGGAAGGGCTACGAGGTCTCAATCACTTTCAAGCACACTCTTGCGTGCCCTTTCGCATCAGTGCTGTTTGCCGCGCTCTGATGAGCTCTGCTTGTTGCCAGGACTGGCTTGCGCTGCCTAACGAGACACTGTTTGTGCCCAAAGGATGGACTACCGAAGGTAGCCCGTGACTGCGCTACGCAGTCAACTGCGGGTGGTAAGGCAGACTGTTCAGCCAAAATATGGTACACACATGTAAACTCTCAACGCAAGTCTCCATTCATCAAGGTAGATCGTCCTAGACTATTCCTTCTGAACTTGGCCAAAGACAGCAGTCGCCTTGCATCTTCGTCATGCTCGAAGCAGAACAGCGGTCTTTCTGCACCACGGACGGAGATGAGAAGGGGAGAGTCGCGCAGCACATCAGCATCACATGGAGCCTGCTTGCAAGGAGGCATCACTTGCTCACTGCTTCGAGCCTGATCAGTGCATTATACTTTGTTTGACAGCGCCGCATGATTCTTTGTGATGCTTCCTGGTTGACGAGCACACCCCCACGGTTCATAACTGTACCACTTTAGCCATGCTCGCTTAACATCGTCTGACTGCGCAGGGCCTCACGAAGGTCGGGAACAACTTGAGCAAATCAGCACGCGGCGGTGATGGTAAGGCATACAAATCAGAGCCAGCAGAATCTACAGACTAGCACGAGGAGGTGCCCAATGCAATTGCTAGAAGTGCTGGAATTGCTAGAAGCTGTCTTTGCAGCCCTTCCCGGTACGCCCACCATGTTGCGGCGATGGCCGGGTCTCTTCGGCCCTTCTGCAGCAACACAGCCTACCATCCCCCGAATGTCCACAACAGCCCCCAGTCAGTCTATGGACCAGCCCCGGAGGCTGTCCTTCTGTGCCCTTGCTGGGGCCTGGACCCCGCCAGAACTTTCGACCGACGAGTTTCGCAATCAGGAGCGGGCTCTGGGGCTGATCAGCTTGTCATTGGTCCCTAGTGTCTAGCCTCGTCGCCTTGCAAAGCTCAGCTCTCGCTCGCCAAGACAAGAAAGGAGTTGCTGCAGCAGTCCCTCTTCGAGGAGTACTACCATGTGGGGGAGAGCGGCTGCCTTGAAGTGGCGAGTTGTTTGGGAGTTTGGGAATCTGGTGCTTCCCTGAGGCCTGGCGCAGGTAACCCCAAAACTCCGAGAACTGGCCGAGATCGGGCTGACGACGATGCCAGCAATAGCTTTTGGTGTTGCGAACGGGCTCTACCACTTCTGCTTCTACCGGGAGGATGAACTTGGTTCCACTGTGATGTAGAGTGACGCGCTGCTAACATGTCGTGCTTGCCGGAGGAGTGGGCAAGTACCACCAGCATGCCTGGCAGCATGCTCAACATCGAGGATATGCTTCTGGCAGAGCGGCTTTTCCAGGCGCTCAAGCCATGGGATTGAAGTGGAAACTTGCAACTTGGAACTCGAAGCTCTTCTGAACCTCTTCGGAACCTCTTCTGGTAGGTGTCTGTCGGCTTCAGCCATTGTCTGGATTCAGCGCAAGACCTGCAAAGCTTCTCGTCGGCAGGTTCTGAGCTTGGGGCGAAGCTTGTGGCCTGCAATCGCGCGCAGGATTTTTGATGGGTATGTGCCAGCAAAAGTTGGCAATGCTATTCTTGATCCAGAACGAACTCGGTGCCTCACTGGCTGAAGGCAATGTTGATTATGTCCACACTCTGGTACGTCCCAAAAGAACCCGCAACGCAGCACAGTCCTCCAAGCTGTCGCCAGGTCGGGAGCTGCAACAGTCTGCCAGGGTGCTCCGTGCCGCCCACGACGTCTTCCAGTCCATGAAGCGCGTCCCTTACCACGCAACTCGGCCGCACTGAAGGCTGCCGGGTGTGCAATGCCGGATCATGCAGCGAGAAATTCTCAGAGGCTGCCCTTGGTGCCATTGGATGGAGCCTGGCCTGGAATTTGTTCTTCCCCCCCTGGTTGGTTCCACATTGCCGATTGGCACAGGGAGCAGCCTAGGGTTTCAGAAATCATTGCATCTGGGGCCGGGGGGGGGGGGAGGTTCGTGGGAGACGCAAATCTAAAAATCAGAAAACGGCAGTTGTAGTCTTGATCGCGGAATGTCGCCAGATGCGAAGGGCAGGTAACAAATATGCCGAAATGCATCGAAAAGGGTTGAAGAGATGTGGAGACAAGAGAGCTCAAAAGTGTAAGGAGAACTGTAGCTGTTAGCAGGAAGCAAACAAAGCATACATCTAACGTAGGCCGTGCATGACGAAGCTACAAGAGACCCCTGATTTCTACGCCCTTCAGCAGTCTGTGAACCTTATTGACTTAACATAGAAAAGGAAGGGGACATGAAAGTTGGGTGCCCCGGGCGTGGCATAACTTTTTAACTATCGCGACGCAAGCGTGCCGTATCGATCTGTTGAAGCTTTCGATGTATCTGAAGGAAGCCGGAGCATGTCATCACGTTTCCCGAGGTTTTGGAGCTTTGATCATACATGCTAAGCTTCTGGGGAGGCACCAGACTTAGATTGTTAAACCCTAAAGAAGCCAACCAGTTTGCGGAATCAATCGTGTTGCAGAAAATGACTTCCGTGAGACGCTGCAGGAACAGTACTGCACGCAAGCACAGTAACCAACGCCAAAACCCCAACTAATTTCGAGGCTGTTTCCCTCAGACGTGGCTCTGAATGATGAGCTGTACCCTCGCACATTCGGGCCCGTCTGGCCATCCAGCAGCTTTCCCTATGCCGAGTTCCTGGAATCGAACTTTGAGGTCTTTCTGGAAGACTTGAAAGGCATCCTGGCCCAGGACCCGCCGCTGTTCGCATGCTGTTTTTTTGGCAGATTGTGCAACTGACCGAGGCGCCGGGATACTTATTACCGTCCCACCTTCTGCCAGGAAGGGCTCTTTGAGCAGTTGCGCAGGGCAGCTCGCAATGCGGAGGGGCTGGCAGTGTGGCCTCCAGACACGCAGACACATTATAACATTGGGATTGCGGTGTCGGGGTTGATTTGTGCGCAGACATGCCCTTGGGTTTAGTGAGTTTAGTGCTGCAGATAAGGACACGCGAGGCCATGTACAGCTGCTGGATGGCAGGGATGAGTCGCTGATGCTGCCAACGTAAGCGACCAAGGACCTTGTACCGTGTTAAGGCCTTTTTCCAAGGAAGGCAGAACACTAAAGCCATGAAAAGTAGAGAAAAGTAAATGCATCATTCTTTTGCTCCAGGTGTGCCTTTGCCCAGCGCAGTTGCGCGTTGTTGGCCTCCCGACCTGAGCTGGCACAGTGTCCACGCGCGGCGGCCTTCTTGGCACGGCTGGAGCCTGGAGCCTGGCTCAAGCCGCACCCCCGAAAGCAAGCAGGAGTCAAGCAATGAGTCAAGCAGTTGCATCGCCTGGGCAGATCTGGGCAACGATGGGCAACGCTTCTCGCACTTTCTGTGTCTGAGGCATTTGGGCAACTCGCGGCGCCTCGCTGCGTGCCTCGGCTTTGATGGGCTCTTCGTGATCTTTGTGACCCCAAGGGTGGATGGCACTGCATCTGCTCGGTGCAATGGCTCGAGGCATCTCGGTTTGGTGACGCCGCCTGGTGCCGTTCTTAACGTGGGCTCGGTGCGGAACCTTCAATGGGCTGCTGGTCGGGCACTGGTCTGGGACGACGCCTGGCAAGCCTCACACAGGCTGCACGTGTCAGGGAGATGCAGCTATGTTGATTTCACCTCAGGACACACATGTGCATGATGCGCGCCACGCTGGCGAAGGCCAGCTTTGCAAGTTCGATTTTGGATAGTTGAAGGATGGTTATGTAGAATGCAGAGTGCTTTTGTCACACTGCAGTGACGTTTACTATAATTGGTACTACTAGCAGTACAGGGGAGCCGTGAGCATCAACGAAGCACATGCCTTGGCGACTTCAAGCTGTTGCCACTGGCCATGTCTTTTTTGATCGAATCGTAATGCCCACCTGAGTTGGCTTTGACATGTGTTATTCTTGTGGCATTGCTTGGCTGGACTCAAGCTCAGAGCTTGGCAGGCACACGCTACATACTGCAGTCCTTCTTCTGCCATCCATGTGAGCAGCGAGACCTGTACCGAGGCAAAGTGGTTGCTAGAGCTGCGAGTGACTGTGCTTTTTTTCGCAAGATGGGCTGTTGCAAAGCTGCGGGCCAATACGTCGCAGAGGCCACACGCAGGCGGAAGTGCAATCTCTGGGCTCCGACGCTTCCTGCGATTTCACGCATCCCGTGCGCGCTGAGGTTGCCGGGATTGTAGAGACGGATGCGCAGATGGAAATGTTGAGTGTGTTCTTGCGGAGATGTGCCTACTTTGCGAGATCTTTGCCCTCTTCAGGTGTCGCGGGCTCTGCGGCAAGAGATGGATGAGCCTTTGTTGCCATTCTAAGTGCCATGTGTTCTTCTGTGGCTTCAGTAAACTCTATTTGTCTACGACATTCACTCAACTCAACGCAAGCTGCTTTGTCTCTGAAGAAAGAGCCCTCTTGTGGTGTGCTTCCAAGGAACGTGAGAGAGCCTACAGAGCGATGCCCCGAATGACTGTTCCTGCCAATGCGCCTGTAAGCGTTTGAAACAGCTGCGACTCACCAGGTTTTACAGTAGCATCCCGAGTAGCTTGCACCGATTTCGACCGACGTAGCTGGACATTGGGATCGGTACAGCACGCCTGAGACCTCACTCGGATGCCTGTGGCGTCATCGCCGGTGCATGCGAACACTCCTGAGCATGCGCAGGTTCGGAGACCGAAGGAAGTACAATCCAGGCCAGATGCCTCCCAGCTGCACGCAGCAGGAAGGCTGAGGTGAGTACGTGCAGGGCCAGCTTTGCTTGTGATGAGCAGCCTTGTGCTGTCTATAAGGCCAGAGCACAGCGTGTTCAAAGCACAGGCAAGGGAAGGGACCGCCACACGATGCGTCGCACCTTGAACCTTCTTTGTTTCGGCTGGGAAGCTGCAGGTTGCCTGGACCACAGCGTCAGGCGCCTTCCCTTGAGGACCAGGCCGTCGCATCCGTCGGTTTAGGCAATGCCGCTTTTTTTCCAACTATGAGTATATGAAGTGGTGGAAGTGCCTGATCTTACATGTCTGCTGCGCAGTCCCACCCGCAAGTTGATCCGAAGCTTTTGCCCGCTTAGCGGCTTGGCCTCACCCAATGTGCGAACTGCAAATTTAGGCCCGAGGAGCTTAGGTTTCAGCCGCACTCGGAGCTGGCCCAAAGTCACTGTTCGGCCAGCCAGCGGAAGTTCCCTTCAGGGGAGATGGCTGACACAGCGACTTGGATTGTCTTGAGCTGTCTTGGGCTGTTTCTATGGTTGTCGACAGATTAGTGACCATCATGGTCATGCAGAAGTTTCCGAGCCAAGGACGTCGATGAGCTCACGCAACGGCCGGAGGATTTCGACCTGCCCACTGTGGAGGTCAGGGCTCGTGGGCACCTCTGCAAATATGCGCGTGTGTGTGCCTGCGCACTCGAGGATGCGATCCGTTTTATGGTCACCAGCCACTCAGATGTGCAGCAAAGGGCAACGGGGGATAAAGACTGTCAGCCACGAGACGTGATCCCTCCTTCCCTGAATTCCTGGCTTCCTTGAGACTTACATGTATGCATTACTGCGGGCAGTGACCTCTCATACCTCTGCCGATACCGAGCCTCTACCTTCCCAAAAACCTCACCAAAGATACGAGGCCTGTGGAGCCACAGAAGCCCAAGCCCAGGATTTCTGGAGACGACACATCGGAGAAAGCTCCACGAGCCTTGACTTCACACGTGCATACTCTGTGGTAATAGGCAGAGCATCTGATTCAAGACATGGTTCAGAGGTCCAAGTAGCCTGCTCCAATGCATCATGAGTCATGCTTGATCATGAGGAGATCTTGGCCTGCAAGTGGGACAGGTGCGCTGAGCGTGGTTCAGAGTGTGTCTCAAGGCGGTACTTCATGAATCTTGATGACAAGCATGGTTGGCCTGAAGGTACCAGTCTGCGCAGGCACGAAGCATTGTTCTTCTTGGCTCAGCACGCAGTCCGAAAGGATGTGGAGCTGTGATGAAGTGTAATGCGGCATTGCGCAGCTTTGACACCCTTCGGGCAGGCAGCCGTGAAGCTGCTTGCCCAGCATGGCGTCGAGCTCTCAAGTGCCAGTTGAACCAGTCCTTCCTGTCCTTGCCTGAAGTTAAGTTGGCGATGTCCAAGCTGGTTTGAGGTGGAACTCAGCCCGGAGGACGAAGCCCACTTGTCGGGCTTGGGAGATGCCGAGCTGGGCACCCAGCTTGCCCACCTCGTAAGGCAAAAAGATACAGCGCCTCCCCTACACAGCTTTCACCAGGCTGATAGATGCGTTGGTGCGCAAGATCCCTGAGCAGTCCAGTGAGCAGCTTCTTGGAGCATCTGGTGCGCAATGGGTGCTCAGCAAGTGTGTCTGTGTGTGCTCACCGGACCGTCCGTAAGGTTCCAAGCTTTTTTCTTGGAGCTTCAGCTCGTAGTGCTCAGCACTCAGCAATGCGCTGTTCCATGTTCACTGACAAAGTAGCGATCCGCACGTAAGCCTCCAACAGTTGCTTTGCCGTGCTGCCGAGTAGTGAGACTGTCTGCGTAGCCTCGAACACGGCGATGCGAATTGCGAAGGAGGCTGTAGTGGCTTGTCCGGACAGGTCTGCTGCGCTGCGGATTCGGAAGGGCTTGGAGGCATCTTTCAGCTGTAGCTATGTTGTACCTGCAAATGCCAGCTGGACGACGTGTTTGGATAGTCAGGAAGCCAAGCCGGAGGATGTTTCGCAAGCCCTAGACGATGCTGAACTATCGAACGTGGGGCCACATGCTTCTCGGAAGAATACGCGAAATACACTCAGCCTTTTCAAGGTGCGTTGGAGTATGTTGATGTGTGTTTTGGTGCAAGGTCATGAAGATGGCAGTGGTCCAGGTCTGCGTGGTTCGCAATGTGTTCAAGAGAATCTTGTTTGTCCTAACTTTAACGCCGTGAGAAGTTCCGGCCTTTTTCTTCCAGGCCGGCAATGATGTCATGACTCTCGGGATGCAACACAAAGCGTGGATCCAGGCGGTGTGGAACGCAGACGCAGAACCGCAGAAGGGTTACAAACCTAAAGGGAACATCCCACACCAGTCGCCAGGAGTCCCAGCACAAGCTGTCGATGCTGGTTAGAGGCTTCTTTGAGACACTCCCTGGCTTCGACCCCGAAAGATGTTGAGCCCCATGCTGGCCCCAGGGCAGGAAGAAGCCATGGCGGCAAAAAAGAAGCTGGCGGCTGCCAATGCTATTCTGCACAACAATGTGGTCTCTCAAAACGAGAAGGTGGGACAATCATGGACGCTCCGTGCTGTGCGAGTTTTTTGCCATGGCCTCTCCATTGCGACAACGTTTCGTTCCTTGCGAGGCCAAAAAGGTTGTGGCAACCTTCCTGGGTGGCAGTGTCACGGCTTTGCTCAAGATCCTTGCCTGGTTGGCTTTTATCGCTTTGTTTTTTTCGGCACTCTTGTTTGTTGCCTCGTTTTCCTGGCCACCATCTCAAACACGCCGGCGGAGTTTTTGTTGCAAGCGTTTTGCCAGCTCAGGAGTATTCTTGCATCTTGGGTGTGCATCATGAGACGCAGCTCGTCTGAACTTGAGGGATCAGTTTCCCATCTGCTAGGCCAACATGCCAAAGGGGGGGGGGGGGGTTGGCATGTCCCGCGCAGGCGAGAAAACCGAAGGGGCGGTGCTCTTTGTCTGAAGATTCAGCCTTTGCACTTCTGTTTCTCGTAGACTTTGCCACGTGAGAGCATTGACACCGAAGGCACCGGGAATACAGGGATCGGCTAGAAAGGCCAAGCTGCGAAGCCACGGTGTCGATTTGCCTGAACTCGGCTTTGGTGTTGAAACGCTGTGCAAACATAACTCGCAGGATGCAGAAGCACCTGGCAAAGTGCAAGCAAGAGCAGCTGGCCATGGTGCGCTCGATGTTCATGCGCCTTGGAACCTTTCATCGCTGTACCGTCTTCGTTGCGAGGAGTCTTCTGTTTCATTTCGAATGAGTTTTGAGGCGGAAGAGTGCTGCTGGCTTGCTGCAGTTCAAGCGGGAGCTGTTTGCTACCTGGCGGGAAGAGGCCATGGAAGCCAGGACAGATAGGACTCATCCGCAGGTTGCATCGCAGGTAAGCTTCTGGGGACACGTGGCAGAGCTGAGTTTGATCAGAATATGAGAAGTCTTGCAGGTGGAAGAATGCAAGATCGACAAGGATGTTTGGCAAGAAGTAAAGATGCCAAGCTGCAAGCAGAGCAGCTCCTGCCAGAAGATGTGTGGCTTAACGGTTGCCACGCCTGTCACGCGCACCTTGCTCTTGGAGCAGGAAGGTGGAGAAGCAGCTGTCCACGCTCAAGCAGACGCAGGTGAGCCCACTCAGTTCGTGGGGCTGTTGGGGAATTGGGACCTGCAAGGCCGGCCGCATGAAGAACGTGATTGAGTCAGTGACGGTCACTTGCCAAGCTTGGGGTTCCAGTTATTTGCCAGGGATGTGCCAGGGACCTCTTCAGTATCCTTTTCCATCCAATTGCATGTTCACACTCTTCCAGGCATCGTCCCACACTGGCTTGATCACAGCATGTCTGAGGGCCTGGCAGGGAGAAGCCTGATGCCCAGTGGTGTCGCAGCAGTTGTTGACGCAGTCGGACATGCTGCGCTGCACAATGCTGCACAGCACGTTTGTTGTACCCCCCAGCGGGCTCCGGTATTTGTGGTTTCTGTGATTACGCCTGTGTTAACCAATGTGTGATTGGCCACAGCGTTCACGCCCGCACGATGATTACGTCCGTGCTACGAATGCGCATGAATGCGTGTGATTGTCCAGAGCATCCATGCCTGCATCATGATCATGTCCGTGTTACCAATGCGTGCGATTGGCCACAGCATTCACGCCCACACGACGATTTCGTGCTGCGTGTTCCCAGTGCGGTTTTCCAGAGCATCAATGCCTGCGCGATGAGTACGTCACGTCCCTTTACCAATGCGTGCGATTGTCCAGAGGGCCTAAAGACAAAAATGTATCAGGGCAAGAGTCAGATTGCGGTTGGAAAAACGGAAGAATGGCGCCGCGGAATGCGCACACCACTCTGCTCTGCTAGTCGCTTGTTATCGCTTGCTGCGGTTGCCTGGCTCGTAGGACTTGTGGGATACGATCCTTCGCACTATTGCGATGTGAAGCATGCTGTTTTGGAGGCCACGACGCCTGGAAGGTAGCCTAAGCCATGAAGCAGTTGGCAGGGGCGATGTCTTTGGCATTCTTCACTCTTAGGACGCACGTCAACAACCCCTTCCGCATGTTTGTAGCAGTACTTGTGCACGATCCTGCGTTCGATGCGGGTAGAATTTTGAACTCTTGCTTCAACGCCTTCCGTGCACTTGCTCCTGGCTGGTTCATTCGACTGCCGAGGTTGGCAGCAAGCGCAAGGCTTGTTGCTGCAACGCTGCAATGCAAGCTCAGAGCTTTCAAGCACCCATATGCTGTGCACAGGAGGAGGAGCTGCAGCAGTGGCTAGTGACAACCCGTAGGAGACTTGCGCAGCTACAGGAGGCCCCTACATATTGCGGAGGGTTAAAGTTTGTAAAATCGTAGTCCGAAGGTTGAGTCATAATCCCAGCATCTTGCGATGCCAGGCTAATCGGAGCCTGACGCGGAGTACCTGTGCACGACTAGCAGAGCAGTTTGATGTTGGATTGCATCTGGCCCAGAGAGACCCAATCGCCTGCATCTGTCGAAGCCCCACTGAAAAAAGGGCTCTTGTTCCGAGGCTGAGCATCGCTATGCGGTCCTGGGTTCAGACACTGCAGGAGCTTCTTCCCTGGCTTCTCAGATTCGAAAAACGCACCATGGCGCCTTGAGGAAGCAAAGCAAAGCAGCGGCATGGCCGAGAGCCTCGCCTCCGTGCAGGGCAAGCTCTCATCCTTTGGTGTCAGGGGCCCAGTGAGAGGTGGGGAACCAAAAAGGAACTAAAAGGAACTGGAACTCAAAGGAACTAAAATGGATTTCAACTGACCAGGCCGAGTTGACATCCGCTGCTTGGTTAGAAGTGGCAGCTAGCACCGAGGCAAAGAATGCTACCTCGGCCATGAAGACTATGCAGCAGGCCAGGGCAAGCGACCTGTGAGAGGCGAGGCCTCAGGACGTAGCAGTCGCACAGGCATCCGACTACCTGGACGAGATTCTGATCCTGAGGCTCCGTTTTGTTCGCTTTCCTTGTGTGGCGAAGTCGCTCCAGGGAGCAATCGAGTGTGTTGTGATGACCGCTGGATTGTGAGAACGCGAGGTGCTTGCATGCCTGGCGGATGGATCAGAAGATGTGGCAGCCCAAGCGAGCCTTTTCCCACACCTCTCAACGATGTCTCAAAAAACTCGAGCGGGCTTCTGAACCAGTCAGGTCCATGATCTCCTCTCAGCATGGGGCAGTCATTGAGGGAAAGCGGGCGCAGCTGCAGAATGCCGAACAGCTCAGTTTCTTTGAGCCACCGGATAACTGGGATGGAAGTACATAGAGTCGGCTTTGAGTCCCTGGCAGGTGCAGTACATGTTCCGTACCTTCGCCCTGAAGCTGGAAGCGGAGGCTCAGGAAATGAAGAGCCTCAGATGCAGGTTCACGCATTCCTTCAAGATCTCTGGTTAGTAATGGCCACTGCAGCTGCAAAAGCCAATAATATGGCTCAGGAAGCACAGCTGGAAGCGCGAGAGGCTGGAGTTGCATAAGTTGCATGCCAGTCCCCCCACAGCTTGATCCGACAAACCTGTCATTCAGACCGCAGAACACGCAAGTTTTGGCAACCTTGCGGCTTCTAGAGACGACATTTGAAGCCGCTTGCATATGGGTCGGGAGTGTTTTGCAAAGTGTTGCCGCAATTACAGGCGGATGCACAGCAAGGGCGAACACACAGTGTCTTTGCCGGATATCCATGCCCGTCCTGGAGCACAGCAAGGCCCGCAGCAAGGCATTCTGGTTTGACTGTATCGCACCCAAGCGAAGCCTGGATAGGGCCTGGTGAGAAGGTCGAGAAGGGCGCAGGTGGGCTGCTGAGCAGCTAGAGGTTATGATGCCATCTTTGCAGTTTCGCTTCTGGCTTAATGAAGAGAGTGCAGGTGAGAAGGCTGCAATGACCTGGACGGGCTGAGGAGCCGATGGGGTGTGGACGCCGAGCTGCTTGGGAGGGTGAGCCTTTGCTCCCGCAAGATGCAAATCAGGTACTGTGGTCATACCCTGTGCCTGGCTGTGAGCCCTCTGAAGCGTAGCAGTAGCATCCATAGGTCCATAATCTAATTCGCACAGCGTTGAACAGCTGACTTTAGATTTGCCCCCGTCCAGGATTGGACTGGCCGCTGCTTGCATGTGCTCCATATGATCTTAGCTCATAGCTCCGAGGGTCCTTGACAGTTTATTTTCGCTGAATGCCCTCGATGGAAGACATGAGGTGGGTTGCGAAGGCAAATCGGAGGGATCTAGTCAGCGTTTCGGATGTCTGTTTCACTGTCCTCAGCTCTTCGTTGCTGCCATGCGAAAGCATGCCAAAACTGCCGAAAGTCATCCTTGGAGCAGCGAAGGCTGTGGTCAAATGGCTTTGCGTGCAAGTCCGCGAGGACGCACACTGGCCGATCGTATCCCCTCAAGAAAATGCATGTATGCCTGTCGGGTAATCCTTGGGCTTTAGCTCTCTTCCCAAAATGGGACCTCATGGTGCAGAGCACCGCGAGCCGTGCCTCTGCAGAGCCAGACCTCACCAGGAGGGCACACCAGAATCAAAGAAATGAAGAGAATCGGCCCGAGAGCAGTCTGTGGCAGTGTGGACTCTGAGGGGCTGGTGTCGACTGTGAACTAAAATTCGAACCGCTTGCGACTTGCGACAGGCCAGAGGGCGCGCATCCAAGGCAACCGCTTCAACCGCCCTTGCCAGAGCCTCAGCCGGCAGCGTGCAGCATTGTGCTGTGTCCACATAGACGTGGAGCAATCACGTGATGCCGCCGTAGCTGTTACGCTGCGGAAGCACGGGCTTCGGATCCAGGCCAGGGCACAGAAGTGGGGAAAGCGAATGATGTAAGGGTGAAAATGAGAAGGGCGAGGCCTGTCCCCTTTGTTTGACACCGGCGTTGAGTCCTGTGAACATCTGTGAACATTCCATGGCTGTGAAGCTGTGGCCTGCCAAGGTCTGCACGGCAAGTTTTCTACCCGACCGCTGCCATCGGCGAGTCGCAGGCAGCCGTTTTGAGTCTCAAGCTCCTGGTGTCAGTTTGCTGGGCCAATGATGGTTGGCAGCTTGAGGTTCCAGTTGGAGTGCGTGTGCGCACGAAGCCCAGATGTCCACAGAGCAAGGCACCATGGTGGAATTTGACAGCTGATGCTGGCTTAACCTCAGATGAGTCGATGGGTTGAACCACTTGCTCGCCTCGGCTCACAGCTGTTCCCGGCTCGTAGAGAGAGAGGAGCCGCGGCCCCTGGCTCCGAGATCTCCGAGCCTTTGTTCAGGCATTCCCGGGATATAGGGATGACTCAGATGACCGGCTGCTCTTACAGTTTTCTAGTTGGCAAGCAGATGCGTCGCCGGAATGTTGCTGTCTTCCTGTGCAGGTCTGCTGGTGTATTGTGGCTAAACAGAACCGCCATGCAGCCGGCAAAGAAGGTGCAGCTCGCTGCTTGAACTACTTTCAAGCGGTCGTCCTGTCACTGTAGAGGCGCGACTTTGCTCCAGCACCGTGAAAGCCCCGAAGCTCGACGCCTGCCCTGCAAATTATCTGTATTTCTCCGCTGCGTCCTGTGGCCCCAGCTGTTTTCAAGTCTTGACTTCGGCTGAAGCAGCACAAGACATGGGCTCGACATAAAACGGTGATCTTCCACTTTCGACCGAAGGTTCTTGGAGCGCCTCCTTTCCGCAACTAAGGTGAAGGTTGCAACTTGCAATCTCAACCAATGGGCCATGGAGACGTGTCCTGCAACTGGAGGTGAGCGTTTTTGGAGAGAGCCAGAAATCGCGAAATCGCATGAAATCGCTTTGCTGCCGGCCTGTTTGGCGACCCATCTGGCAACCCAAGCGACCACCCTCCGCACCAACTCACAGCGGAACAAAGTAAGCACGGAGCATGACTACATGCTGGTAGTTTGTCCCAGGATTTCAAGGGCAACTTGGAGCGTGTTAAAGAGTCCATCAAGGAGCTCGTGGAAGGGCCTGGTAGGGCATCTTCCTGCCACACCGCTGCACGAACATCTGCGCCAGGAGGCGAAAGCTCAAGGCTGCACCTTCCGAACGGGCCCGGAGCTGGAGATCACGGGCTACGGGTGCGAGGACGTGGACCATGGTTGGACACACGGTTTAGCTAGCCTTCTTACATCGCAGGACCACTTCCTGGAGAACGACACCTTCTTGCTCCTTTGCAAGCAAGCAAGCAAGCAAATCAAGTCTCGACGCTGGCACTCATTGTACGGTGTGGTGTGATGCAGAGGCACGCCTGGTCTTCGATGGCCGAACTTCTCAAAACGGACCTGACGGATGGCATTCTCTGTGACATCGGCATGCCAGCACCACGTCTCCACCGAGTGTTTCTAGTGCATGTGCCACCTACAAGCACCCCCACCCCCGCGCGCCCACCCACCCACCCACCCACCCACCCACCCGACAGCACAACAATACAACAACAGAACAGCAGAACAACAGAACAACAGAACAACAGAACAACAGAACAACAGAACAGCAGAACACCAGAACAGCAGAACACCAGAACACCGGAACACCAGAACACCGGAACACCAGAACACATGTCACAGAACACAGAACACAGAACACAGACCACAGAACACAGACCGCAGACCACAGACACAGACACATGTGACACAGACACGGACACAGACAAAGACACAGACACATATGACACACACATGGCACATGACACACAGACACCGTTGACACACATGGCACATGACACAGGTTACACTGTTACACAGTGGCATCCACGAGTGAGGTGATGCACAGGAATGTCCCGTACAACTGCAGAGTTTGGGTTGTCAACCGCATCTCGGGCTGCATACAGGCTTGTGCGCCACAGGCAACCTTGCATCACAGCCTCAGGAAGCATTCTGGGAATTCGGCCGAAGATCTTTCTAGCAAACGATGGAAACTACCGCGAGATGCGATGGTTCACCCCATGGCACATCGACCCCGGCAACCCTGGAACCTTGCATGCATGTCTTCGAAATGCTAGGGGCGGTACTCCAACATGGCGGCTTGACCAGTTGCTGGCATGAGAGAAGGATTCGGCGAGCTGGAAGAATATTTCCTCCCAAGGGAAATCGCCGACATTACCGGTACGACCAAGGTCCCCTTCGGAGCCCAGGAGGCAGTCGAGCCGGACGGTTACAGTGTGATGCAGTAGACTTTCAAAAGGCGGCCATGAGCTGTTGCGATATCTAAGGAGTGTTCGCGGTGTCTACAAAGGATACTTGCCTGGCAACAGAGACCTGCGAAGAGCTCTTCACACCGGATGCGCCGCACATCAAGCTGGCCCTGGATGGCCCCTTGAAGTGTCGATGTCTGCTGAAGTGTGCTGGAGTCTGCTGAAATGTGCTGAAGTGTGAAGGGATGTGAAGGATGTAGAGGCGATTCAAGGAGGCGGTTCAACGGTTGAAAGGTTCCCACGATGGTCATGGAGGCGTTTCGTCGCCAGCAGCATCCCTTGCCCAGGTGTGGAAATCATCGCGAATGGTTCTGGCAGCCACCACCAGCTGAGGACATGACAATCCCACACGTTTCCTATTTTCATGCATCAGCTCTGTCGCCGCAAGGAAGCTGGACAAGCGAATTGACCTCGTGCGGGGAGCGACCTCCAAGAGCGGCGGAGTGCAGCTTGCTCGATAGAGCAAAGGGGTCGCATGAGAGCGATCGGTTCTCTGTTCCTGAGGCAGGTGACTGCGTGATGTCTTGCGAGGTACCTTTATGCCAATGTGAAAGGCTGTGATGGAGGACCTCGGCAGAGCAGATCGCATTGTTGCTGTGAATCAGCGTTGCTAGTCAAAATTTCTCCGGACCGCTCGCGAGCGATCGAGCAGGCCGACTCTACTTTGATGGCTGCTGCATGGTGTGGAGCAATGGCAAGCTGCTGGCGCAAGGCACTCAGTTCGGCATGTTGGACGAGATAGAGGTGGTGGCCGCTTGACATTGCACAGTACAGACTTTTCATTTGTCGAGCCGTTTAATGCAGCAGGGCATGATGCATTCCGGGATAAACATCCGGGATAGGATGAACGTATGAAACCATAAGCGCGTTGGGATGTGCAGTGTCTTCTTGGACATTGGTGAGCCTACAGGTTGCGACGGTCAATCTCAACGATGTCCGCTCCATGCGTTCGAACTTCATTGCGCGCTCCTACCAAGCATCCTCAGCGCCGACAATACACCGTGTCGAGGCGCAGCCAACTTTGTCGGGAGTGTGAGTCTTGTCCGGCCAATGTTCGTATGCAAGCAAAGCGGCTGAGAGAGTGAGAGAGTGAGAGATTGAGAGGATGAGAGGGCTCTCTTAAGCGTGGAGAAGAAGAAGGATGAGAGGGTGAGAGGGCTGAGAGTGAGCGAGTGAGAGAATGAGAGAGAGAGAGAGAGAGAGTGAGAGAGTGAGCGAGAGTGAGAGAGTGTGTGTGAGAGAGCGTGAGAGAGTGAGAGAGTGAAAGAGAGAGAGAGAGAGAGAGAGAGAGAGAGTGAGCAGCACACGTTGGACAGGAAACGAGGGGTGTAGTGTAGAGCATCTGAGCCTAGTCCAACATTGAGCAGCCTGCAGAGCCGTGTCTCACCGCCGACCCAAGGAACAGAACAGGCAGGGCTGGAACTTAGTGGGACGCTTTGGGTTGTAGGGGGCTTTGTGTTGCTGTGTTGTTATGCGGTTGCCCTCAGGGGAACGGTCCAGCCTGTAAGGGTCGACAACACACAGTCTCACGGGGGACGTGGTGTGAAGGGGACATATGGGGGCGTAGCACGGGCACATAAATGGGGGTTACTGGGGGGCATCTAACACGCAACTTCACACCACTGTCTCCACTGAACCCACGCACCGCTCCGGAAACAGGGGCGGGCGATGACGCCCGGGGGCTTCGGCCTCCACGCCCTCCGAAAGAAAGAAAGAAAGAGAGTGAGTGTGTGAGAGAGAGTGACTTGGTGAGAGAGTGACAGGGTGAGGGTCCCCGAATACCGGGCAGTTGCAGAGCCAGGGGGCTTGCCCCCACGCCCCCAAGAAAGAAAGAAAGAGTGAGAGGTGAGAGAGAGAGAGAGAGAGAAAGCGAGAGAGAAAGAGAAAGATAAAATAGAAAGAGAAAAGAGAAAGAGAAAGAGCAAGAGAAAGAGAGAGAAAGAGAACAGAGAAAGAGAAAAAGAAAGAGAAAAGAGAAAAGAGAAAGAGGCGAATTAGAGAAAGAGAGAGAGAGCGAGAGCGCGGCGCAGCTGGGACAACTTGGGGTTCGGGTTTAGGGGGCTACGGCTCAAGGGCATCTTGGCTACGAGGCTCTAGTGAGCATTTCTAATTAGGAATTCTTTTGCTGCCATGGATGACGGAGAAGGAAAACTCCGGAGGAGCTTGGTATCCTGCTTGGCTTACGCGCTGCGTCTTTCTTCTAAGCTGGGATGCGCTTCCGCCACTCCAAAGCTGAATCAGGTGCTGCGAGAACTGATTGAAGACTCCACCGGAAAACCAAAACGAAAAATCAGCCTGTTCGAGGGACTGAACCTTCAGGAATCGGATGAGGCCGTGCGCAGCTCCCAGACTTGTTCCCGGGAAAGCCATCAGAGCGTCAAGGCTTGTCATGTGGGCACTCAGACATATGAAGAACTAATCTCCGAACGCCAATGCAAAGCTCTCGTGCAGGAGGCTCTTCAGACGGTCATTCGGGAAGTGACTGACTTTGATCGCAGACTTTTAGTGCAGGAACGTGCTGCACCATCGGAAGTTACTTCACGAACCTCAGGGTCAATTCAATCCATGATGCCACCACGTGCGGGTCAACCCCCCGTTCGACATGGTTCGTTCAAGGATCTCCATGAGAGTGAGCCTGCCTTCCAGCCGGAGTCTATACAAATTCTACGGAATCAGCACAGAGCACAGCGCCTCGCACTCAAGGAAGAACGTAGGCGCATCCGTGCAGGTTTGTCTGTTGGCTGACGTTATTCCGTGCATGCTTTTGCTACGGCTGCTATGCTACAGTATAGTTCTTACAAGCGGCTTATCTTCATCACTCAGTGTACACAGTGTTTCAACTCATACTGCTATTTGACATTGTGCCGAGCGAAGCGTCCGACGCTTGGCGGTTGCTCCGTAGCCCTCGGTGATGCATGGGAGCTGGCTTGCCTTCAGTCCAGTGGCGAGGGGGTTGAGGTTCGATGTCGGGCAAGGAAAAGGGGGGGGACAAGTCAATGGCTGCACTGCGTACCACCCCCAATACAGGGGCGGGTAAAGACGCCCGGGGCTTTGGCCCCAAGCCCCTAGAAAAAAAGAGAGAGAGAGAGAGATGGGGGAAAAGAAGCGGAGGGTTTATTTGAACCGCTTGGCCCTCGTGGCAGAGTTCTTTTGCTCGGAGAGGGGCTTTCAAGCGTGCAGAGGGTGCACCGTGTGTCGCTGCGCCCCGCACAACTGCTCGATTTACCACGTCCCCCGAAAACATTGGCGAGCGATGACGCCCGGGGGTTCGCTCCATTGCCCCGTGAAAGAACGAGAGACGTGTCTTTCTGCCTTGTAATTCGAAGAAGAAGAAGAAGCAGCAGAAGACGAGTGTCGTGCAACGCGTTGCAACAAAAGTGTTCAGGTGGACTTCAGCCTTGGGCACCCAGACCCACTGTCCATTTCCGAATCGCAGCCCGTAGAGCCACCTGGCAAACACCTGGAGCACTGCGTGTGCAGTCTTTCGAGGTGCCCTCTTCGAGGGTGTTCAGATGTTGTGGCGTTCTGTGCCTGAGGCCGCAGATCGTCGGTCCGATGGAAGAAATCGCGTACGGACCATCAGCATGGCCACGTGGCGAACATGGGCTTGATGATGCTTGGGCGGCTTGGGATCTCAAATTCAACCGGAGCCACGTCACACTACAGAGTGCCCAAGGCTTTGGGACTACCTGCGGCGCTCCGGGCAGCGCGGGTACTTTCTGCCACTATCCGGTGGTGCCGACTCGTCCTCCACAGCAGCGCTTCCTGACTTAGAAATCAGATGCGCAGCACACCAGAGTCACCGGAGTGTGCCAATGAATGTTCACACCAACCTCGGTTCCGCATGGCTCCGCAAGGGTGTTGCTAGGACTGGGACCATACCAAGCTTTACAGAGCACATGGTGCAGCCGACAGGGGGGCGGAGGTCCTCTTTTCCACCAATTTTCCAGGGCATCCCGAAAAAGGTTGCCCGGAGGGATCAGGCTGGGGGAAGCTAATGTTGGCCCTTCAGATGCCAGAGGCCTGAACCCTCGGCGGCTTTTGCTATCGCGGCTAGAGCGGCGCAGTTGTGAGTGCACGCGAGGCTAGTGGGGATCATGTGCGGTCCCCAGCAGTGCCAGAAGTAATTGCCATGTGACACACTATGCGTCAAAGGGCAGCTTGTATTCTTCGTAGCAAGGTGTCAGCGAGTTTTCCGTGAGCTGACAGAAGGTACCGAGAGGTGCGCAAGAACCGCAGCGTGTGCAAGCTGCTTGTGCGATTGCGCAGTGGACAGGTCTCGGTCGGCAGTACTCGCAGACATCCGGAAGGTGACACGGCGTCCCTTTTACACGCCACCTTCCTGGCAGGCCCCAGGGCCCCAGAGTTCTGAAAGCGCAGAGTGCTCTCATATGGAACCATATTGAGCTCCGGTGACGTGTTTTTAGACATGCTTTGGGCGAGGATTTGTGTGGCAAGATCTTCGTCACCTGTTACATGGCCTCAGCCGCTTGTCATGAGTGGACCACGGCCATGCTTGTTTTTGTAGCTTTTGTGCATTGCACGCAGAAATCAGACAGCCGCTTCAGGAGCATAGCGGATCGGAGACACGATCTCGAGCAGAAAACCTTGCAAAACAGATAGGTGCCAATCACACATCAATAGCCCCTCAGCTTTCCACTATGCCAGTATGTTGGCCTGTTTCTTGTTTCAGCTGTGACCTTCAGATTTCGTGCAGAGGGGAAAGGGGCTTGTATCGGAGGCGATCCGACCGATAACTGATGCAATAGTGAAGGTCTTTCAGCAGTGCTGCTTGGCTCCACAGCTTGGGCAGTGAGTAGCGAGGCCTGCATTTTGGACAGCTATGCTGGTTCTGAGGCCACTTCGAGTCTGACAGGATTGACAAGAACAAGGTGCAGATGAGACACGATCAAACACACACCGAAGAGACAGTAAGGTCGCTTGCGAGTATCAGTTGCTCTGGTTGTTGCAATGCATGTCGAGGTGAAATCCGATGCCACTTGGAATGCAAGCGGTACAGAAGACATCGCCCTGCAGAACATCCAAGCTCGAAGCCGCGGCTCGGTGAAACATAGCCATCGCTGGTCATAGCTTTGTCGAAACACGCTTTTGCATGCTTTTGCTCGTTGCGCTGGGGCCTCCTTGATTAGTGCCCACATGCAAAGGGCTGCGAACCGGCATCCGCAGCCCAAACTCTCTCCAAACGACGCTGCAGTTTCTAAGGCTTCAAACTCAAAGTTCTAAGCTCCGACTCCAAACCTCCCTCGGACGGGTGGCAAGAACACCTCCTTCCATTTTTCGGAACTGTGATGCTCAACCCAAGAGCTGGTACAGTAGCAGGTGGCTCCCATGGTAGGCCATGGGATGTGAGATAGAATCAACAACATTGTTGCGGATAACGGCCGCGGGCAGCTGTCACCGCTAATGCTTCCCAGGCCTCTAACTCTCGAGTCGTACTGTTTTTGTTTCGAAGTTATTGCATTTGTTTGCGAGGAATTCTTCGCAAGTTCTTGAGACAGCTTAGTTGTGCGGATTTTGTGAGTTAGCTGTCACACACGTGCATGCCTCTAGCTCGTCGTGGACATTTCAATTTGCTCTGCGTTGCTTTTGTCGATGCCTCCCTTTGTTCTTCGTGGGAGCGTTGTTGCTTTGCCGTATGATGCTGTGGCCGATGAGTCTTCCGGAGTTAGGTTGGGCCAAAACCCACCAGTGCGTGCCACACTCACAAGCACTGTGAGGGGTTTGTCTCAAAGAACGACTACATGCTTCATCGGCTTCAACAGCATGTTCATTCCTGACCTTGCAAGCGACCTGTTTTGAAAGCAAGACCATGCGCAAGTTCAGTGCGAAAGTGCCAATTCGAGTACATCTGCTCGAGGCCCATTGCCATGCGCGGCACGGTTCCGTAGATGCGAAACGATGCCTCAACCCTTCCTTCGATCAAGCGGAAGTTGGAAGTCGAGAATTCCGGTCTCTTTCTCAGCCTGCTCCGAAAGGTATGGTCATGGCCTACTTCATGGCACAGCTCATGCCCTGGGCCACTGACAAGGTGCAAGTGTACGGGTGGGCAGGGGCCTTTGCTCAGTGTGAAACGTGCTGCCTACCCGGCTGTCAAGGCAATGAAGGGCGAAGCCGGTCCTGGCTGGGGATCACTTTTGGTCCTGGGCGGCTTGGTGAAGCACTCGCACCCCTCCAGTGTCCGAAACACTTCCCACCAGTCGTTCCCGCAAGCTCAAACAAGGCTCTGCAAACGTAGATGAAGCCCTTCGCGGGTACTACACCAAGTACGACTGCAGCGCAGCAGACATTAATCCCATTGGTGGTGTTGGCCTCAGATGCCAAGCGTGCAAGGCCACTGTCAACGTCATCTTGATCTGCTACCAAGGAATCAACAAAAGAGATTTGAAGGCGTTTCTGAAGTGGGCCGCCAAAGAGAGAGGAATTGGTAACCCGGCGGAATATCGTGCTGTACAGTACATGCTGGTCCTCTGATCTAATGTGCGATTTTGCGTGCACAAAGGAGAGCTGGAGAGAGTGGCGAACGCAGTACCAACCGCAGAGCTGCGACCAGACAAGGCTTCACCTCTCTGACTTTGTTGATTCAGACTGTTTCAGGGCTTGTTGAAGCTGACTAGTTTGAAGGGCGTGCCGTTCTCGAGTGAGAGCCAGCCTAGCACACGTATTCAAAAGCTCCCGTTGAATGCAGCATGTACTTCCCCAAGAGTTGCCAAATTACCTCCTTTTTGTATCCCCACTAGAGTCACTAGATCGCAGGAGGCAAGTTTCCTTCCACAGAGATATCTCAACATTGAGCCATGGACCGTTGGCGCAGAGAAGCAGTGTGGGCTCTCGCCGTTGTTCTTGGCTTCGGGGGAACATGGGTGATGCCAGCCAAAGGACCACTGAGTCCATTGGCTTGTCAAGGCCGTCAAGGCCGTCAAGGCCGTCAGGTGCGCGTTTTCTTGTCGGCTGTCGGGGATGCCGCAGCCGTGGACACCGAAGACATGCTGGTAGCATTGGGTCGGAACCTTTGGGCCGCGGCTGACGAGCTGCTGGAGGTTAGCGCTGCTTTGTCTGCGGCCGTACCCAGATCCGACAACCGCAAGTTTTCACCCCTTGGGTTGGGCGCAGCCGCGCTGGCGATGAGGACTGCTGCAGACAACATATTGGATGACGACTGGGAGGATGCCATGGGAGAGCTGGAGGTGGCCGTAGTTTACCCAAGCCTATCCACCAAGTTCTCCTTTAAGCCAGCCCTTGTCAGCTTCAGCACCACCATGCCCCCTCCTGTAGATCTCCCATACTGAGGTTGCTGCGGTTTCCTGTGAGGGCTACTTTCCCGCAGCCTTGATGCAGGGCCTGGTCGACCTTTTCTCCTACGAGGAACATCCGTGGTTGTGCTAACACGTCCTTATCCCTGTTCCTTTGCCACTCGAAATGTCACGAAAGCTAGCTCCTTGATGCGGGAGTTGTCGTTGACCAATAAATCTTACCCTTTCTCACTTGTTTCAGGTGGGTAGTGAGGCGACCGCGTGCCCTAAGTGATATGAACATCAAGCAGCTAGCGGGCTGCGAGTCCCCCGCTTTTTAATGATTGGTTCTACAAGTCTTAAGGCCACAAGAAAACACCAATGTGTGTCTGACTTCGTCGCCAAAGCCTCATGTGAATGAATAAATTTGTAATTAAATGAATATGCGAACAACTAAAACACATGTAGATATTAGTTCTGAAATCCATCGGTTTCATCGGTTTCTTGTTTTCATCGGTCAGGTCTCGGGAACCTTGGCTTCACCGAGGTTTTTCATCGGTTTGGCATCGGAAACCTTGGTTTTACCAAGGCTTTTCATCGTTAGCCACGGATACCTAGAAACAGACTTGAACTCTAAACCCCAAACCCGAACTCCGAACCCGAACCCTGAGCCCCTGACGGGAAGGACTCCAACTGGCAGCATCTAAGTGTTTGTCGCTGAACCTGAAGAGCAGGATCCTATCCTAAATCCCTCTCGCTGAATCCTAAAGAGCAGGATCCCTAAATCGAAGTCCTACTCCCTAATCAAGCCCGAAAGAAAGAGGTCCTTCAATCCTGAAGAGGAGGGGCTCCGCAAATCTTGTAGAGCCGGATCCACAAATCTTATTCCCTCAATTATTGTACCACCTATGACTTGTTCCTTGAACCGTTCCTGTAGGATTTAGCGAATAAGATTCAGGCCCCGATTCGGGCAAAATTGTGCCCTTTTCCTAGATTTAGAGAAAAGGACTTACGGACTAAGATTTGTGATCCACCCACTTTAGGCTTGGTCATTACGATTTAGCCTTTATATGTTCGGGACTCCCGTTTCGGAATAAAACCGACTCTTCTCTTTGCGGAAAACACGTTCCCCTAGATCCTTGTCGCTAAATCCTAAAGAGCGGCATCCCTTATTCATTCAGGATTTGGTGAATAAGATCGTTGCTAAAAAAGTTGAAGAATCACGAGCTTCCTTCCTCTATTGTAAAGCATGTATAGTCATGTTGTGCAGACTAGGATGACTTACCTTCTGACCATTTTTGGCTCAAGTAAAAAGGCCGCATGAGGTGCGGCTTGCACGCAGGGTTGAGGGCTTTGAGGGTCCCTGAACCCTTCTTTTGGTTGTGCCTGGTCCTTCCCCTTTTAGGCTTAGGCCAGATTCTAACCTGTTCAACTGGTTATCAGCTCCGTATCGCTCTGTTTGTTCTGTAGATTTCAGGGTCTAGGATTGAGGACCCATGGACTGCAACCCTCCTCGTGAGGAAGAGCGCATTCCAAGGCCTCTCGGTGTGAGAGGCACTCGAGGGGGCGCCGCAGCCCAGAGGAAGCGGAAAGCATATCAAATATATATCTTTCTGCGCGATCAGGACTTGGGCATCTTCGCTGATCCATCCGAAGTTCCCTTCCGTCGCCCTGACGGATCTACAAGATCCGTAGTGCGCCGTCCGAGGACGGCTCCCTTTCAGGCTGTGGAAGAGCAGTCAGAAGTGATCGTTATTGACGATCAGGCCCCGGAGACTCCGCCGCCTTCTACGCCAGTTCGTCCGTTTCATCGACTTCATCCTTCAACTGTTGTTCTGAAGGCGAAGACCACGGCTCCATCACCTCCACCCGCTTCTTCGTCATCAAGCTCTTCAACTCAGAGGCCTTTGCCGGCTCCAAAGCCTTTGTTAACTCCATCGGCTTCATTGTCATCAGACATTCCGGCTCCGAAGACTCCACCGAAAGCTCCGCCTCGAAGTTTGTCATCAGGCATTCCGGTTCCAAAGACTCCACCGAAGGCTCCGCCTCGTGTGCCGGAACCTTCGCATCCTCCATCGGCTCAGGTGCTGCATCGTGTGCCGGAACCTTCGCATCCTCCGCCACCTCAGGTGACAGGAAATCCTCGTGTGATTGACTTCCGTCCCCTGAAGACAGAGGTGCTGGACTTTGAGGGTGTTAAGGTGAAGCTTACGGAACCTGCTTTCGAGAGATTCTCCTTTGGTTTGAGCTTGGATTTTCACGGAGTGTTGGATCGATATCACAAGAAGTCGACAAGCTGGACGGATCCTAGGCCCGAGTTTCCTTCAGAGTGTGTGGCAGCCTTGCGCGATCTTCATTCGTTGATTCCGCGCTACGGGGGCTTATTCTTCGTCTGCAGTTACTGTCATCACGAGGACACTAAAAGGCACGTGGTTGAGACGACAGTGAATTCCTGTGATACGCTTTTCACGCAGATCGGGGAATCGCCTATTTGCCTCATTTTCATTACGAGGAAGGCCACTGGTCCGTTGGGGAAGCGTGCAGTGCTGGAACATCTGGCAAAGGAGGTTGAGCTCCCCATCATTCACGTCGACGACTCTGCGGATGTCTGTGACGAGTTGGCGGGCTCTGAGCACGTGATTCCTCTGCATATTGCCATTCCGAAGAGATCCAAGGGGAGTCGTGGACAGCGCACTATTTTTCCGCGTGCTCCCGTGCCTTCCTTTGACAGCTTTCCGGAGTGTACTGACGCTATCAAAGGTCAGGTGCGGAAGTGGTTTCCGGACGCCTAAAGGTCTGGGGCTGTTCGTCCAGTTGTCCGGCGCTGAGCGCCTCCTCTGGCGACATTGAGGGGATTGCAGATCCAACCGTGAGCCTCGCCTCTTCTGCCAAAAGAAAGGGTGCGTTGAGCTGCTGCTAAGCGCTTCCACCTTTCAAGGCAATGTCTTCCCCCTCAGACCCTAGCAACCCAGCTAGTTCGGTACTTGATCTATCGAGTGCCTCAGCCATGGCATTGCCGGGTGGTATCGGTTCAGATAGTGGTTCGGTTACGAGTAGTTCTGCAGTTGAGCTCCGTGAAAGGTCCCCTCCTCTGACTAGACGGGCTTTGTCGGGACCTCGCAGAACTCGTGAGCACTCAGAACCTTACCCGAATCTAACCGCTCAAGCCTCATACACGCAGAACATCCTGAACGTAGGAGCGTCCCCACAAGAAGTCCTGGATGCCCAACGTTTGGCTGCAGCCCAAGCAGCGCAGCAAGTGGCTGATCATGCTGAGCAGCTACATGCTGTAAGGCTAGAGCAGGTAGAGAATGAGGCTAGAGGTTTGGTTGAAGCCACCGCTGAGCAAATGCGTGAGCAGTTGCAACAATACGAACATCGTTATGATGAGATCCTTCAACAGGGTCGAATCTTGGAAGAACAGCTATCCGTAGCTAAGGCTGAGCTAAGCAAAGTCGAAGCTGAACTTCAGGTTGCTCGTGCAGGGTACCAAGAGCTTGAAGCCGCCCTAACCAGCTGCCGGGGTGATAACAACTTGCTGAACTTCCAAAACACCCAGCTACGTGTTGAGTTGCAAGTCAAAGACCGTGAGATTCAGAGACTTCGTCAGGCTGCTTTAAGCGCCACGAGTCCTGGGTCTTCACCTCCAAAGCCTGCACCTCGCCAGCAAGATGTGCCATCTGCAATTGCACCAAGTGCCTGTTCAGGTGGTTCTAGTTGGGTACATATCGGTTCGGATGGGGACAATAATGGTGCACCTTCATTGCCGCAAGTTGTCAATGAGTCACCCCCTTGCCCTCCTGCAACCGTTACCGACCCTCGTGTTGATCAGTTGATTGATGTCGTCCAGCAACTGCTTGCCCAAAGAAATGGCACGGATCAAGGATGCAATGATGCATCTCCTGTTCATGAGATCGAAGAGCCTGAGAGGCAAGAGAAGCACATTGTTGACAACCGAGCTTTGTTGCATCTCAAGCTTGAACCTGTTCCTTCCGACGCTGCTGGTTTCCGAGCCTGGAAAAACGCGTTGTTGGTCCAAATTGCCAAGCTTGATATGTCAGGAGAAGGTTTGGTCGTTGAATGGCTGTCTCAGTCTTTCACAGCTGAAAAAGAAGACCTTACTGAGTCTGGTTTTCTCCCTCGCCTTGACGCTTGGATTGCTGGAGAGATGACTTCCTTGCGTGTGTTGAAGCAAGTGACTGAGTTGGAGCAAGAGGTAATTGCCTATGTTGAGTTGTGCGGCCAAGCACGGTCCCAGCCGAAAGGTCGATACATGCTTGCCCTTCTTGCTCGTCATTTCAGCATCGACCGTGTTCGAGGTACTGTGCTGACTGCTTCGACGTTGTTCCAGGTTGAAATCGGGGGAAACTCCATGCGAGATCTCCGAGACTTTGTGCAACGCGTAAGGACTGTTCTGTATGCCATACCGGTCGGACAGAGGCCAGATGATCGCCTCACTGGTGAATGGCTTTTCCACCGGGTGAAGCATATTCGAAAGTTGGAACGCATCATCGAGGATATCAGAGAATCTGCGCCAGAATCCCGTCGTCGTGAGTGGGATTACTTATGGAACAAAATACAAGATATCCTTGTTCAAGAGCGAGAAGATGCAAACTCTCACTCAGTGATGAAGTCTTTGCAAATTGCCGCTCCGCAGGCAAAGACAAAGGGAGTTCCTGCAGAGACTAAGGAGGCATCCCGGAGTTCCCCAAAGGCCAAGACTCCTGCCCCAGTGTCCACTGGACCTCCACCGAAGGCTCCAGTACCTGCAAATCCCGCACCAAGCCCCAAACCTAAGACAAAAGCTAAAGCGAAGGCAAAAGGCATGTCAGATGCAGAAAAAGCCAAGACACCTTGCATTTTCTTCAGAATGTCGTCTGGTTGCATGCATGGAGAGAATTGCAAGTACAGCCACGCCCCTGATAAGACCCCTAAGGTTGACCCTAAGTCTAAGCCTAAGGCCGCCGCTTCCAAGCCCAAGTCCCCAGGAGCTGTTGCAAAAGCAGTCGTGGCAATGATGGCTGCCTCAAGCATGTGCAACATTCCTGGGAGCAACGCTTTCAGCGTTGAATGGGCTGCCGACACAGCTGCTGGTCGGCATCTTGGATCGGCGCGAGCGCTGGCAGACCAGGG